TTCTTCCCTAAACTAGGTAAACCTGTTAATAATACCTCATCCTATAGACCAATAAGCCTGCTCCCGATCCTCTCAAAAATCTTTGAAAAAATCCTTCTCAAACGTATCCTACCCATTCTCGAAACCCACAATATCCCTTCCCATCAGTTTGGATTCCGCTTAAGACATTCCACCGTTCAACAAGGCCTTCGCGTTGTTGACCATATATCCTCTGCGCTTGAAAACAAGCAATATTGCACTAGTGCCTTTCTGGACGTAGCGCAAACTTTCGACCGGGAATGGCACGATGGCTTGCTTTTCAAGCTCAAAACCCACTTACCGCCATCTTTGTACCGAGTCCTCAAATCCTACCTTTCAAATCGTTCCTTTCACGTCCGCTGCGGCACCAAATTCTCCAATTATTATCCTGTTGAGGCTGGTGTTCCACAAGGCAGTGTCTTAGGCCCAGTTCTTTACATTCTTTTCACAGCTGACATACCAACCCATCCCGATTCCCTTCTAGCAACATTTGCTGACGATACCGCCATCCTATCGTTCCACGCAAACCCTGAAACAGCATCCCTAAACCTGCAAAGACACATCTTCCTGATAGAGCAGTGGTGCAACAATTGGCGCATCAAAATCAATGAATCCAAATGCAAGCAGATCACCTTTACCCTCCGACGCAGATCCTGTCCGCCTATCCTTTTCAACTCTGTACCTCTTCCTGTCTCAGACACAGTTCGATATCTTGGATTCCTTTTAGACAAAAGACTAACATGGAACCTACATAACAGACTAAAAAGACAAGAACTTAACCGAAAAGACAAGAACTTGGTCAGTTATACAGACAAGACTTAACAGAAAATATAACCTCTCAATTGAAAACAAACTATTAATATACAAGACCATACTGAAACCCATCTGGACCTACGGACTTGAACTGTGGGGGACAACTAAATTTTGAACATCAAACGCATCCAATCCTTCCAGTCCAAAGTCCTTCGTACAATGGTAAATGTTCCCTATTATGTTACAAACAAAACTCAACATCATCATCTTAACATCCCTTACGTCCTTGACGTTATTCCATCCGGTTTCTCAAATTTTCATCAAAACCTAATCCATCATCATAATCCTTATCCAGCTCCAGCCATCTCTAGAATCCTCCTCGAAAGTTAAAAATGCAGTAGCCTCGAGATCTTTTGTAAATACGTCATTGGAGCCCTTAAATGGAGCAATGGCCAGCTTCTCCACTCAAGTCATGAGCGTATGTTGATTTAGCGCCCTTTCTCAGTCTCTACTGGATCTTTATCTCAGTGATGGGGCTGAGAGAAGCGCTGGGATCTCTTAGAGTCTTGCCGTATATTCCACACGTGGGGGAAAGGGTCCGACTTGTAGCTCCCTTGATTGACTGTAAATAAGCATGAATGTTTTATTTATTTATTTTTGTTTTGTTTTAATTGTGTTATATCATATTTTATTTCATCTGTTTTGCTAAGGTTTCTTTTTCTTATTTTTGTTATAATTTCTATTATTTCTGTAATTGTATATATTATACGAATTTGTTTCTTATATCTCAAATACTCAATGCCCTTGATTGAGGCAAAATGTATTATTTTTCAATAAATAAAAAAAAATTAGTCCTGATGACCATATCCTTGAATCGAAATGTCGAACTGTGATAAATTTGAGCTAGAAATCTGACTAAAAGACGAATTTTCAAAAATGGAACTATTAAGCAAATCATGGCTTCTAATAATAGTCAAATCATTAGGCCTAAAACGACATGCGGCTATAAATTTTACAAACGTAACTGTTAGACGATTTCAACAACCGAAATTTAATGATGGTCACAACACTTCCAGCTTTTATTAATCCAAACTATAATATTCGTATTGTTCGTTAGGATTTTTGCAATTGTAGAATTTCTTTCCGTAGTCGTCAACTATGTTATCTCCTAAAGAAGCTGTAAACTTCATTTTAATACATTTCTGACATTAATAAGATTAATCTATAAGTATTTACTAGCATTTTAAAATATATACTTACAAAAGCTTCCAAGCTTTATAGTCCGTGGTACAGAACCCTTTTTATCGAATTATTAACATCCATCTGAAACTTGGTATAGTTTCATCTCATCGTAATCCAAAACTATTTTATTTACGAAAACTCTTGAAATTGGGAAGTTTTTAATCTGGAGGGGGGGAGGGGCGAACTTTGTCTATTTAGTTAGGTATTAAAAACTCGCAAAATACCCATTTGTTTTTTACTTGGATTATAAGGTAATTTGATAAAAAAAATAAAAAAATGTGGCCTTCAAAAATATTGAGCCATTTGGCGTGACCTAAATCCCCAAATTTTCAAAATAAGAGGGTTATATAGGACAATAGGCCCAATATTTTTGTGGACCGCCTTTTTTTCGATTTTATGATCAAATTATCTCACGATCTAAGTAGAATGGGTGTTCATGAATTTTTAGTACCTACTTAAGTAGACAAAGTTTGTCCCACTCCAGATTGAAAACGCCCTTATTCCAAGAGTTTTCGTAAATAAAATAGTTGTAGATTAGGATGAGATGAAACTATTTACCAAGTTTCAGATGGCTGTTAACAATTCGATAAAAAAGGGTCTGTACCATGGAATATTATTTTTTACCCAATATTAAAGAACATATTGATTGTTTGAAAGAAACAAAAAATCACGGACTCATTTTTGCGCCTTCGATTATGTTTATTTACTGTTTTTCCTGCACATTTTTTTTCTATCAAGAATGTAAACCAATGGAAATTATTTTTTAATGATTATTATAGAAATATTTTGCAAAACTCTTAGAAACCCTTACTTTTAACCCATGACACTGGTCACAAGAAAGTTATGCTCACTACAGTTCAACTATTCGAATATTGATTTACAAAAGAAAATAGCAACATAAAATAAGATAAATAAAACATGTACCACAACAATCCAGATAGGGTTTTTGGATTCAGTAAGGAAACAACTGTTTTAAGACCAACAGTTGTGCAGGGAGGTGATGGGGTCAGATCATGCACAACTCCTATGTTAATTAATTATATAACCAAGATTACCCAATTTATAGAGCCTGGGTGGAGGGTCTCATGAATACAGTATAGATAACGGCTGATATGAAAAATAAATAATCACTTGAAACCCGGGACCTTGATCATTGGAAGTCAGTGCCCTATCCACTGAGCTAACTCACTCTCACATAAGAAGAGGGGTTCTATAAAATCCAAAATAAAACAAGAATCGAGAGAAAACAAATTCAAATCCAAGCATCTTGTGACATTCACACTAAAGTGAGCATTCTGCAACCAATGTAACATCTACAATGAAATGCTACATTTGTGAACCAACATAAATAGACTTTAACAAACTTGACAAATTCGTAGCAGATCCAAGCAGATTTCAGTTGTCTCTCAAAATTACATTCTTGAATAAAGTTTTCCTAAAGTCTGTCGCACAAATTATAAGTTAAGAAATGAATACAATAAAAGTATTGTAAAGAGAGGAAAAGTTACTATTCAAGACGAGGGGATTACGTTAGGCTTGATTTCAGACATTCTAATGGCTTTGGTAATAAAAATGATAGGAACACTCTTAATTTTTTCCGAACCCCGAAGTAGCCACTAAAAATAACTGGTTTAGACCATTTACTTTTTCAAAGTAAGTTATATTAAAAACAATGGTATTAGGACACAAAATTGTCACAGATAAGTTTGCTACTTGTGCCATGGATCCAGCAAAAGTATAAATAGAACACTATCCATGGCATCTAATGATTCCTTTGTAAAATGTATGAAAGAGAAGAGACTAAGAAATTTTCTATTTGTTATTTAAGAATGAGGTGAACTTTTTCTAAATTTCTAAAGGGCTTTTAAATAACAATTTTTGTAGGAATGGCAGCAAGCAGGTAAGAGTAAACCTTATAGCAATATAACTTATTTCATAAGTTATATTGCTAGGTGACTCAGATTGTTATCCTTTAAATTTCCCACAAACCGTAGTTTCCATCATACATTCAGAAGTTCTGGGCTTAAATAGAGAGGTAAGGCTCTCTTGATCATCCGTATAGCATTATCTAGTATTGTTTTAGCAAGAGCTAATTCTCTTTAGAATAAGCATGCAAGAGTTTTTAAACAAGGGTCAAGACAAATTTTCTCTGGAGGCGTATAATACTTTGTTGGGCTTATATCATAATTTAGTGATTACACATATCAACTAGATGTCAAGGGGTTATCAATGCCGTCTTATGCCGCGTATTTAACTAAACTCTCACCATATCCAAAAAGATTTTAACAAATTCAAAAACAATTGTAACATCAAAAGTGATATTTCCATTTTTCTTTAGGAAATGTTTTTTAATCACATAAGAGAGATGATATAAAAAATCCATTTATAATTGCTGAGGAAAAATATTAAAACCAAAAATTAATAAATGATTTCAGTTAAAAAAAAAAATGTACACATTTTTTGTCTCAACTGAATTAAATATAAAATTATTTTAATTCACTTTCCCAGACAATATTTCATAATTTATTATCTCTGTGCAGTTTTTTTTTTTATAAAAAAAAAATGTAATAAAAGTTTAGGAATCTTAAAATACAGAGATAAATGGTTAATGAAATTATACAGCCATTATATACTTTTTTTTTAAAGTCATCAAGTTAATATAAGTTGGAGTTAAAACTATGAGTCAATTTTAACTCTATTAATGACTAGTCTTATTCTCAGTACAAAAAATTCATCATATATTTCAAAATCAATGGGATATGTAACATTCTATTAAGATAACCAATGGCAGTTATGGTAAAGCATGAACAGAAAAATCTATACTTCTTTCAGGGACAAACAGTAAATAAGTGATAACATAAGTTGGAAGACTCCCTAATTCAGTTCTTATACAGAAGACTTCTTATATGAATATTATAAAAGTAAAAAATAAAAAAAATAAAATTAACTGAAACTAATATATAAAATAAAAACACATCAATTATTTTTTACTATTGTTTTTATTGAAGGACACAAAAATAAGCCAAAGCCAGAAACATTTAAAGTTTAGTAATGTAGGCTTAAGCTAAACATATTTATCTGAATATTTCAAAAAAAGGTGAAATTTTTTACCTGAGATCAATTTTTATTATAACTATAAAAATATGGCCTATATATAAAATGAACCAAATTTCCAAACATTTTAGAAATATATATGTTTATTCTATAGTTATTACTTTTTTTAAAAAAAAGTTTATTTAATATCTAAAGATAATTGTTAAAGCAGTCCTATGCTATAGGACCTTCCATTTGGATTGTGGACAGGAGTTTGAACAGGTTGGGAAACACACCACTCGTACCAAACACTTTTCTTGTCAGCTAACCGCCAAAAGTGGACAACTAGGTCATCTCCACTTTTGAGTTTTACAGGATCCTGTGAAATGAATAGAAGTTTAAAATGATTTAATAATCACAATTATTTGAATTAAAATTTTACTGCTCTGAAACTATTTTCTTCAGCCTTTAATCAAATAATTAATAATTTATGAAAAAATGATATCTTTTATATATATAGGTGTGTGTTTATATACTTCTTAAGAACCTGGACCCACTAACCAATAACTAAAGAGATTCCATTTAAAAACGACAGATGCATGTGATTGCGAAGGACTAACTCCACAAACTTTCACCACTACGAGTTATATGAAAACATAAGAGCCACCTTCCTGAAATCATCTTTAACACAAGGGGATGCATATATATGCAAATTCTCTTTTAGGAACATATTCTTGACATCATATCAAAATTTCAGTCGTATATTCTTCTGTTAAATGAGCTGTCAAATTTTGCATCTTTAATTTAAATTTTGTATAGAAAGCAACGGCTTTCAACCGACTGACTGAAGTTGTGTGTTCAAATGAGGTATATCTAGAATTTAAAATGGTTACTAGCTTTAAGTCCTTCAGTTAAATGAAATGGTCGGTAGCTCCTAGCCTATCTGAAGAATTACTAAAGAGGAGAAAAAAAAAAAAAAATACATTTATTACAAAATTAAACTCATCATTATAGGGTAAAGACACTGGTAGTAGACATCAACCCAGTAGTAAACACATGAAACTTTAACTTAAAAAAATAAGAGTTGGAACCATCAGAATGATTTGAATTTGGTGTTGAACTTTAGCTTATACTATGTAGCCACTAGAATGCATTAGCAAACCAAGTGAGTAGTGGAAAAGTTAGAGCAGCTGATATCTTTGCAGTGTCATCCAAGGTCCTGCTGTAAACCAGATCAACTAAGGAGGGGAGTTTGATTTTCATAAATTATTCTTTTATTGTTTCAAGATTTTTCACAATTTTTTTCTCTAAATGATAGTGTAGACAATGAACTATAGACAATGGTTTTGTGCGTTAGTTTTGATTGATTGAGCACAAAAACAAACTGTCCACTACTGGGAGACTGATAATACCTATCAAATATAGGTGCATATTTGATTAGAAATAAATTAATTAAATGGTGTCAACTACTGGTGTGTTTTCTTCTCTACTACTGGTACACTGATGTCTATTATTGGTGAAAAAACATTTTCTCGAAAATTATCTAAAAAACGACCTGAATATCAATGTTTAAGTTAGAAGGAATTTGGGTCACATTAGAGTGTTGTTAGACAAATATAGCAAAAAAAAAAGAAGCTTGAAAAGAATCTAACGAGTTACATTTAAAATTATTGGAAGAGTCTCATAATAGTGTCTACTACTGGTGGCTTTACCCTAACTCATAAAATTATGTACAGATTACAAACCTTGATAGGAAAATATATGGGAAACCAAGAAAACATTCCCTTTGAATGTGATTCAGGTACAATGCTTAATTTAACATCTTTATAAAGTATTGTATCAAAATATCCAGAAAATCCATGAAGAACACTGTCTTGTTCCACTTTGAATTTAAATGTTTTAAACCTCCTATTGTCGGCTTCTTCATCTGCAAAAAAGGCATTAGTTTGTATCACCACCAATTGCATTACTTAAATTAAAAAACAAATCCAATTTATAAAAAATTATGACTTACCCCTGTTAGGATGGATGAATGTAAATGCTTTTTGAATAGGTGAAATAGGATAGGTATTCAATTGATGAACGACATAGGGCATTTCATACTTTGCAACGGGCAACTTGCCGACAGGTACAATGTTGTGCCCAGCTTCTGCATGAAGTTTACATGACTGTATTGGACAGAGGTAGGAAGAATATTCACCAGGAATGCTGATGCCATCATCTAAGAACAATACACATTTATAATTCATTTGAATAAGAATGCACTTAATAAAAATGAAAACATTTTAAATAAAATATTTTTTAAAAATCTGTCATATTTAAAATTTGAATGAGTTATACTTACAAAAAGTTATTTAAAACCATTACAGTAAGTATTAATAAATGTATGTAATTACATCAAATACATATCATACCACAGAAAATACTTGAAGGGATTAAACAGAGGAAAAACATGGTCATAGAAAAATTATAATGCTGATAAAGTAAAATGGCACAATCTATTTGATCTGCAACTTTTTGTTTCATTATAAAGATTCAAAACCATTAATTTAAATAAAAATAGGACTAAAAAAGTTTATTAGGTAGTGTGTCAATATGTTCCAACCCAATACAAATAGAAAGCGTAATTAAAAAAAAAATTAAATTTACCTTTGAGTAAGTGTTGAGCACCATCAAGGCACTCTGGTGATAGCTCATTGTCTCCAAAAGAGCCCAACAGTTCTGACACTAATATATCACATTTTACAGGCGGTTTCCAGTCCCTCATATCAGAACAAACAACTTCAACTGAGTCCTTCCATTCATCCGACTTTGTCGAATACAATCTAATTAAGGAATAATACAATTATTTAATATAAATATAGATAAATCAATAAAACTGATCGATAATGTACAGAAACATTAAAATTTTACAACTTACGTCACAAGTGCATTTACATTCTTTTCTACACAATACACCTTAACTTTCCTTTTGGCAGAAGATGCTGCCATTAGAGTTGCATCTACCAAGGGTCCCCGACCTGCACCAACCACCATTACAACCCTTCAATAGAGTAAATGAGTAAACATAGAAGAGAGAGAAATAAGTACCACAGATAAAGAAATGCGACTTACTGAACATTAGTTTCAGCTTCTTCTGGAGGTACTCTATCCAAAAGAGCAAGGAATATAGCATGTTTGTACTCTGTGTACTTTACAGGATCCTTTTCGAAGATTTCATAAGTATGGGATTCAAGGTTGTCCATTAATGGCTGTAAGGGTATTTGTAAATGATCCTCAAATCCTCGCGTGTAAGGTATCACGGGATCTGTCCAATTGTTTGACTGTAATAAAAATTGTAATTGAATAATTGGAGGAACAATTGTGTAGCAACAGTAGAACAATTGTATGAGAATTAACAGTGATAATAATAGTCAAAAGTAAAGTAACAGTGATACTTCGCAAGGGAGAGGCGTGATCCACCAAGCTGTGTGTGTACATCACCGCGTTACCTGGAAACTTGATGGAAGATAATTTGGTAAAATAATTACAAGTACGTGTCCCCGTACTGTTGGGAGAGGGGGAGGAGGAGGAAGAGCTTTTAACTCTGGCATTAATCCCCTGCCCTCACCTCAGGCCCGGGAAAACTCCATATTGCCTAAAATGGGAGGAAGGGGAGGACAAAAAAGTAAGACAATTTGCTAAGAACTTAACATTTTTAAGGCAGTTAGTTATATATACTGTTATAGTTATATACACAGTTATAGTTATATACAACATTATTATATACATCAGCTATATACAGTTACAGTTATATACAACAGTTATAATTATATACAACAGTTGAAATTAGTAGAGCTCGGATTTGAAGAATTTCTGTTTTTTTTGTGTGTGTTGAAAGGAAAATATAGTAATAAACAAATCTATCAGTATATTGGATAATAGGTTAGAAATACAAAATCTTAGAAGATCTTTTTTGACCTATTTCCTGATTTTAAACTAAAATAGATTTTTTTTTTTAATTTTCCACTAAAAAGTATTGATGCAATTTAGCACTAAAACAAATCTTTTATACAATTTAGAACTAAAACAAAACTTTTGGGCAATTTTGTTCTAAAATAGATCTATTTGATCTTCATTTATGATTTGATCCAATTGATTACGAGAAGTGTAAATATGAAACAAGAAATCATCCATAGATGATAGCTCTAGTTGTTAATGTAATTACCATGTTAAGTAGCATTATTGGCCCCATTTTGTTTCTTTGACAGCTGGTAAAGATTTTCAACTCTAACAATACAAGTTTCATGTAACAGCATTGTTTCAATACTGTTGAGCATTTCGAGTTGTGTGCAAACTACAAATTGTACCGTTTAAAGAAAACTTCTCTAGAATGGCATAAAATGCTTGTTAAAGCTTACAGTGAGCCATGCTTTTGGTAAATCACAGTGCTATGAGTAGTTTAAAAAAATCAAGTGGCGATTTAGACATGAGAAATGAAAAACATGGAACTAAAGTGTAATCTATCATGAGCTGCTAAATCCCAGCTATTAATATTAAATTAACCAACCATTAATACTGAATACTAACAACATTAAATTAAATAAGTATTGTGAGGGAAATGATCAGAATATCAATAAAGACAACACAAAGTGATTTCGCTTCATGATAATGCACTGCCACATTAAGAAGATTGGGGTGTTCAGTTGGGAAATACTAGCACAGGCGGCTCTCTCCTCACCAGAATTGGCCCTCTCCGACTACTATTTATTTATATTTTCTCAACAGAGTTTCACATCTTATTAAAATGGCTTTAAGAACCATGAAAAATGTGTAACTAGTAATGGACAATATATCGAATAAAATATATTTTAATGCAATAAATTTGTATTTTCTAAACAGAAATTCTGGTTTTATTTTTACACATCTGGTATATTCATGAATTATTGCATACAAATAAAATAAATATCTAATTAAATCTTCGGGTCGAAACGTCAGCAAATGTTAAAATAAATATTGTTATTTAATTTGCCAGTTTTATTTTTGACTGATCATCCCAACTATCCTTCTCTTCATTATTCACTACAATCAAACATCAACCCATAATTATGAATGTAATTAAATCAGTTTAATCCAAACTTTAAAAAAGGAAAAGTGAAGACCTTGATATTGAACTAGGAAACATTAGTTAGTAATATCCAGGAAAATAACACACCTGTGCTTAGATTGAGTAAGTCAACAATTTCCTACATTGTTTAGATAAAGAAGGATGTACCAATGAAGTTTTAACCAGATTGCATTCTGATTTTTTGTTTACACACTCTATTTTATTTTATTATAATTTTATATTCAGAAAGACTTGAGATCTCTATAATGCTTGATTTTATTTCTCTGCTACCTTTTGCCCTTTGCAAAACAAAGGTGGATATTTTTTTATTTGGTAGTGTTAATTGATGAATTTCAGAGCATAAAATGCCAAAAGTACATTACTCGCGAAATCTTTGATGAAGGCATGGATTGTGGAGTAAAAGATACTTCCAATAAATACAAACAGATATTAAATAAATTTGTTACAAATGCTAATTGTTCATTTAATTTTAGATTACTTATTCTTTATTCTTTCAGCCTTATAAATTTAGACACATAGAAGAACTTTGATGAAAAATCTCTTTAAGCTTTACACTGTAGAATTACAAAATCTTTTGTCATGGTTGGGAAGAATGGAGGTGTTGTCGAAGTCAAATGTGAGATTTGAGGATAAGGTGTGTTCAGAGAGTTTAGAAGCAGTAGAGTTCTTGGAATAAATTGCGAATTTGTGTTGTTTGATGCGACTTTACAGGGGAGATGGGGTCTTTTAGGTTGGAGTAAATATTGGCAAGTTTGTTGTAGTTTTTAAAAGCAACTCAGGGGTTGGGGATGGAGGAACGTAAGGATTTTTAAATTTTATCAGAAAGGAAAGGGGTAGAGATCTATATAAAGGAATAGAGGGCAGATTTTGAGAACTAGAAAAGGGGATGGAAAATGAGAGACGGATTTTGTAATTATTAAGTTTTTTAATAGTGTTGTTAGAAAGTAGTATCTGTTGGATGTGTCTTGTGTTCGTTTCATGTAGGCAAGGATCAGATAGAGAAAAACATCGGTAAATAAGGTTTTTGGCAATAATATCCAGTCGAACATAATATCCTCCTAACCAAACTTATAAATATCTCCTTTATCATCTAGTGCCCTTAAGTGATTCTAATCCTTTCTTACCGATCGCTCCCAGAACGTTGTAGTCCCTAATAACCCTCAATGTCTCTACCTCTGTACAGAGGCATAATTTTGTCCCACAAAATTCCTCATTATCCCCCACCATCTTTTCCATCTACATCAATGACCTCCCTTCCTCAATCAATATCACCTATACGCCGATGATGTCCAAATTTATCTTTTCTTCAATTCGACGGATTTATCTAATGCCATCCTGAAACTGCAACAAGACATCAATAGAATATGTGCATGGGCGAATCTTAATAAGCTGACATTAAATACAGAGAAGACAAAAGCCATCCTGATCAGATCGCCCTCACTTCTCAAATCGATTTCAGCACCTCCTAATCTTCTTCTGAACAACTCACCTATCTCCTTCCATACCACCGTTAAAAACCTTGGTGTTAGCCTCGATAAAACCCTCCCCTGGAAACCACACATCTCCCAAATTTCCCGTCGTACTATATCCACTCTGAAACAGTTTAACCATCTACGTTATCTTCTTCCGTTCAAAACCCATCAACTCCTGGTCTTCTCTCTTGTATTTCCCCACTTCGACTATGACTACATGGTGTATGGTGGACTCTCGGGAGAACTCAAAGCTAAACTTAACCGTCTAATGAATTGCTCAATCCGCTTTATCTTCGAGATCTCAAGCGATACACATATTACCCAGTTTTATACCGAGTTGAAGTGGCTTTATCTGTTCTACTGCCATCAATATTTCCTAGCTACCTTTCTATACCAAGCCATTAGAACACGGCGAACCGCCTATATTCTACAGATAATACAATTCAAATGCTCCTTTCAATCCCGTCCCACCAGATCCCATGCGTCCGACCTCTATCCTCCTCCTCACCGAACTGCTGCGTTTTATAAATCCTTTTTAATTCAAACTGTCTTCCTCTGGAACTCTATACCCTCAGATATTCGACACGCAAAATCAATATCCTCTTTCAAATCTCTCCTCTTCAAATACCTACTCCATTCCCAATCCGATTGATCATGAAATGCACTTAAAAACCTAAGCTGTAAGAATCTCAAAGTACATCCAGATACTCTGATTATTTTGTGATTCATTGATATTTTGTTTACTTAATTTAATTTCTCTGTTATTTTATATTTATACACCTTTTTATTATCTGTAATTTTATTATATTCCTAATCATCCTGTAAATATTAAATTGTAATTTATGGACACACTAGAATATTAATATATATTCTGTATTTATAACTTGTTCTAAAGGGACACTAGTCCCAGAATAATAAAGTTATTTTCTTTCGTTCATTCATTAAGAATTGGATAAAATTAAAAACATGTAAAATGCACGTTAAGGTTAAAAGTTGTTTATGATTATTAAAGAAAAAAAAATGGTAAAAGGGAAAAAAGAGGTGGGGAGTGCTGAGTGAGAGGTTCAAAGGTTTTTTTCAGAGAGAAAAAATAAAATTTTGCCTAAGAGTTTTTCATCATTTCCCAAAGCAGCCGGTGTATTTGCTGCCTGCCAGAGTATTACCTGCCCAATGTTTCACATTTGTTACTTTAATAAGGTGCCAATGTATTAATATCACATTTGATTTTAGAAATAAATTATATACCTAATAATTTGGCTAAATTCTGAGATAAATTTTCCAGAATTCAACAAATATTATTCCCCACAAAATACAAATATTTTTATTATTAAATAATGTGAATTCTTAAATTCTAATTTTTGTAAACATTAAGATGTAATGTTTCTACTCAGTTTTAGCATGTATATTCCACAAATACAATTGTATTTGTATTAAATTTTAATAAAGGATTAAAGATCTTGTTTAGATCAAAAAACTACTTTTACGATATATTCCTTGGAAAATTAAGACCTTCAAATCTAGGCCCTACTATGAATTAATACAACAGAAAGAAATTAAAATACCTTGAATCCTTACTGAAATATTTAAACTAGTTTAATAAAATAACCAAATCAGATTCATTACTTGATAGACATGATCAATATACTGAAGATAGTTCCTAGGCGCTACATGTCTAATGATTCCAGTAACAATCGGTAGAGCACCAAGAGCAGCACATCTCTTGACGAATGTTTGGTGACTTCTAGATAGCACAGGATAGCCTTTCCTGTTTGTTAGGAATATAGATGTTGGAATAATAACGGCTTTGATGGGTTCACCGAGCCAACGGTTCTGCACTTCCTGGCTTGGCAAATCTGTTGCCAATAACAAAGCTAGGCCTAATCTCCGGTCAGATGAGGTCATATGTCTCATTTCACACCACCTATAACAGTTTAAAAATAATTGTCATTGTCCCATTTCATTTAACCAGGCATATGGAAATAAAATGGATACAAATTTACATTGAGAGAAAATTCTATATTTTCATTTAATTATTAAAGTGATCTAAATTACCGGTATTAGAATAGTAGGTGGCTTCACATATAAATCATTGTATTACAAATAGACTAATCCAGTTTTATTAAATTCAAAAGAAACAAAATAATAATTTCTGATAAGAGATTTTTATTTTTCAGAAATGTTAGTTAATACTCTTGTGATCAGAAAATCCTCTTAATAGGTCAATATTCAACAACATTATAAAATGAAGTAATCTAAAGAAACAATACAGTGTTGAAAAATCTAATAGCAAATTTTCAATTTCAGTCATGCAACATTTAAAGCCTCTGTTTAAGAATATAGGTATCTAATTCTTTACCAACATTTTAAGAAATTGATTAAATTTATATTGCAAAGCCAACAAAACAACATTTTTCTTTTAAGTCATTACTTTTATTTCATTTGCAGAAAGCCTGACACTTTCCAAAAAATTGATTTTATTTGTTTGTTGTCAACAGCACAGACTTAGAAAGTGCCGTTAAGTTTTACTTTCAATCCTACATTTTGTTTTTGGCGATATTTTTGCATGGATACTCATTTAGAGATTTTACATTTTTCATTAAACGAAAGGTATTGTGCTTTTTTCAATTGGGATTACTTCTACCAAGGCATGTTGATAGTAATTCCTAGTATTGATAATTCCAAAAATTTTAGCCATCTGAGCTTGTTTCACCATTTGCTACTATCAGCTGTTCTTTAACACATCTATGGTGTTATGATGCTCGATACCAATCATTATATTCATTCTCATATATTTTATGTTCCATATTATAAAACTAAACTAAAATACTTGATACATAACTTCAATAACTTACCAATCCCAAGGATCATCTTCTTCTTCATCTTCGGCCACATCAGAGCGAAAGAGTGCAGTTTTAGATTTAGGACTTTCCATAGGTACTTCAAACCATAACTGCTGAGAAAGGTTAAACTATTTAAAAGTACACCTCGAAAATTCATTAACATTTATACTATTTAAGTACTAACTTATAAGCAACTTACATTTGTTTGGTAAAGGGTATTCTCTTGACACCTATCATATATTATTCGTGAAAGGTTAATGTTGTTTCGTTTGTGCAATTTTATTATCGATGTCTGAATGCCTAAATGTGATATATACATAAGTTCTTGATTGAGGATTTTTTCACTTTGTATTCTGTAAGGTTCGTGATTACTATCAACATCAATATAGCTGCTAATCCGTCCAATCACAGATGTGTTCCAATCTATTCAAAAGTTTAAGATAAGTGATATATTAAAGTTTTCTAATAAATATCAAAAATACTACCAACCTCTTAGGTTAAGAATCATTTCTGATCTGGTGAAAGCTAAAGAATGTCTATCTTGTACATTAGCTTTAAAAATTCTTTTGTACCTTGGGTGTGATATGGGTAAGCATAAATGATCAAACCTAGAAAAAAAAAACAATGGACATCAGCTTATCATTAAATAAAGAAAAGAAAATTTAAAGGTATAAATCAAACATAACAGAATAGAATACTTGATGGGTGACCGTTGTATATTTTAGAGAAAGGAGATGGTCTGGGGTGGCAGGCATAAAAGGACTAAAATAGTTTTTTCACTATTTTTGTCTTTTTAGGACCGCCACCCCAGACCATCTCATTCCTCTAAAAACATAATAGAAGATAACTAGTTCAAGGAAGTAATTGAAGTCTAATAGAATTTTATGATTAACTATGGCAAAGGTAGTAACTTCATAGAGAGAAACACACCATGTTGATAAGAAATATATCCAAGTAAATCGTATTATTTCCTCAAAAATAAATAAGATAAAAATAAAGGCTTCATTTAGAGGTATTGATATAAACTAAAAAGTATTGTAGGCTTACACAAGCTGTTTAATAAGAAAATTTATTTATCCTGCATAACAAGACTATATTTATACAACTTAAAACTGTTCCTAAAAGTCAGTATTTCCAGATAAAACTCTGATCTAATCTAAATATTTAGATCATTCCAGTGCCAAAAAAAAATGAAAGGTACATATTTAATGACTAAAATTAATGTATATGTACATGTATAAAACATGTATGAAACATGTATAAAAAGGAGATAATGATGCACTTTATTAAGCCATATATACCCATTTTCTGATGTATACACCAACATATTTTTTAAATTAGGTGCTGAGCTAACGTCTAATGCACAAGATATCTTCACCATTTTTAAATAAGGTTAAAACTATAAGGAATAAAAAAAAATCAACCACAATGAAAAGGGATTTAATTCGTTTTAAATGTAATTTCTGATAAAAATCTACTTTAAAACCAGCGTGAGAGCGCGAAACCTTACATTACTATAACCTTAAAAACTGTTCAGGGTTAAAAACTGTAAACAATTGAAGTAGATAATCGATACAGCTCCTATCTGTCCCTTCCCTTGAGTTTCTGTAGGAGTACGTTGATAATATTTTAAAATTATCCTTTTGTTTTAGTCTATACTACTAAAACAAGGTTTCGATTATAATATAAGTATTTTTTAAATTGCATAAGTGAGCTTTAATGTTTTAGATGTCAACATACATATATATGTGGTTCAATTTGTAAATCCATCAGTTTTTTTTTCTCTCATTCAAGAATAAATTTTCAATTTTCATTATACAGTAAATTATAAAATTATCGATAAATATAAAACTTGAACTATAGCTTTAACTAAAAAATAACGAAAAAAGGGCCTTTGCTTATATATTTTATGTCCAGTTGGGTGATTTGTTTTTAGTGTTAAAAATATTTTCCGCTCTATTCACACTGAAGGATAGATATGAAATTTAAATTCATTGCTTCAAAACAGTGTTTTTTTCATAACTTTCGGAATGAATTGTATTTGTTCATTTCATATGAGTCAAGCAGTTCTTGTACATATATGCCACATATTCTTCAAATTTTAATCTCGATTCAAATTTAATCATAAAAAATTAGCAACATCAATTCATAAGATGCTCGAAAAACGAGGGAAAGTACCTCAAAATGCCCACTCCTCATTTGTCCAGTTCAAAGCAATCTATGATTCTGAAAATAGAAACTACCTTTGAAAGGCCGTGAAACTATTGTTAAAGTGCTAGAGACTAAATCAGTCGAAGCCAGCAGAGGGTAAGCTTAATTTCAGCCAAACACACACACACACACACCAGCACACATCAGGAAATTTCCCAGCTCATGGACGTTAGTGAACTTAAATGTATATTTTTTCGAGGACGAAATAGAAATCGATCACAGAGCTGAAGAAGGCAACGATCCAAGATTTCCGATAAATGTCTTTGTTACTTTCGTTACAGATTTCGAGAAAAGGACAAAAATTGTCAACAACCTTGTTCCGCGACGGAGTGACAGACTAGATGGACTATCGCTGACGTCCCTCCTCGCCGACTTTTTCTGATGGCAAAGAACACTGAAGACGAATTTTTAGTGGAAACCGGTGCCTCTATTTCTGTTTCCCCCTTCCTCGTAAGATTGATCGTCGTGAAACTTCAAGCTTCATTCTCTATGCGGCAAACGGTACAGCTTTTAAAACCTACAGAGTGGATAAGAAGAATCTCAACATGGGCCTCTGACGACCACTTGCGTGGTTCTTCATCGTTGCTAATGTCAATTAACCCACCATAGATCTTCTCTTTCATTACAATATCATCGTGGCCACCGATGATATCACACCAGGTTGTCGATGCCAAGACCGAACTAACCACAAGAGGAACGCTTGCAAAGACCACACTGTATGCTGTTCCTTCCGTAGAGTACTAAGAATCATTAAAGAAGTATCCAGCTATTACTCGATCCACTTGTATTTTAGTCAAGTCCGAACAAATAGCATACTTTCCACGGCCCTCTAACAAAGGACAACTACGACGGTTTTTTGGTATGCTATACTTTTATCGGCGTTGTATACCAAGAGCCCCTGAGCATAAAAAAATCTTCACGATTTGGTGAGAGCAGGAAGAAAGAAGTATACAATGCCGTTGGAATGGACACCGTAAACCGACGCAGCAATTCAGCAATGTCAACGAGAGACAAAGAGACTCTGGCATTGGCTCATCCTTTGGAAAAAGGACAGTTATACATTGCATGTGACGCCTTGAACACGGCAATTGGAGTAGTTTTTCAGTAACAAAAAAAGTGAAACTGGTACACCTCTTGGTTTTTAGTAAAAGCGTTGAGTCTAGCGGAACAAAAATATTCAAATTTTGACCATGAACTACACAGACGCACCTCGCAGTACATAGAGCCCGTAACTTCCGATCTCTGAACGAATGCTGCAGTGTAACCATTTTCACCGACCACAAACCCCTTCTCAGCATCTTAGAGCAACGAGCAAAAACTGCGGCACCATTGCGGACTAGGCTAGCAAATTTTATAAGCCAATGCATTACTGATATCCGTCAAAAACCAGGTTGCGGACACCCTATCGAGAATGGAGAAAATTAACGTTCCTGGTGTATTTAAGAGCTGAGATGATAGCCAAAGAACAAAAAGACGACTTCAATATTCCGGAACTTCTTTGGAATCCTAGTCTTCGTCTCAATTGGCTAGATACTCCATTCTTAAGAATAACTTAAGTCTCCTAAGAATAACTACAGTGAACAAAAAAATGACAATTGTCTGGTATTATAAGAAAATAAAAAATAATTTGTTAACATAACATAATAATCCAATCTTAAAATAATAATAATCCTAGTTGTAAATTGTGTCATCAAGGAACAATGAATGCAGATCATCTAGATACATGTCCTGCCTTGGCGGACATAAGAGAAAATTTTTTTAAAATATATATATTAAAATATCTAAATTATACTGGGCAGCAAGATATTGGATGGCCAAATGACTAACGACTTTGTCAAAAGAAAAAAACAACAAAAAAAAAGCAATAAATAAAAAAAATTAAGTACAAGTAAATATATTAATTTTAACATAAATATATATGAGTGTGTTCACATATTTGTTCTGATTAACAATATTAAATATATATACAAGTAACAGTAGTATAAATGTGAAATGTACGTTTCTGCTCTTAAATACAAAATTTTGTTCTTACATGTATTCGGAAGATTGATTCCTTAGATGGTGGAAAAATAACTTTTGTTTAAATGCGGTTAACGAAGAAGATTTGGATATGGAGGCAGGTAATGAATTCCAGAAAAAAAGTAGCACGCATGACAAAGGATTTTTAAAGGTAACGGTTCTATGAGAGGGAACAAATAGATTTATGGACAGGAATCTCACGTTAAACGAATGAACAGAGGAACAAAGATTAAACAAATCAAGGAGGGGAGATGGCTTTTTGGTTGTAAAGGTTCAGAAAAAGAATATGTCTAGAAAATATTGCCAATTCTTAATCTCCTCAATATGGTGTCCAGACAGTCCACCGTATAAAATGAAGCCATGATCGAAGTGAGGAAACTAGGAGTTGGTGGGTTTTTATGGGCATTGAATCACGGAATGTCAGAAACTGTTTTAGGATAGCAATGGGTTTTCGAATAATTTGGGAAATATGATTATTCCAGGAGAGGTATTGATTGAAAATTACACATACATTTCTAACAGACGTATGGAAACTAATATGTAGTAGAGACGGGGATAGTATGGGACTGAATTAATAAGATGCTTGGAACCAATGAGAATGGCTTTGATCTTCTCGACATTCTACTTTAAATCATTACTCGCTGCCCAAGTGGTAATACTGTTTATATTTTCTTGTAGTCTTCGAATAGCCTCAAGCATCTCGGTAGGATTCATCCTTTTAATTCATTTTAAGTAAAGGTAGATTTGGAGATCGTCAGCATACAAGTGGTATTGTGAATAATGGATGGAATCGGGAAGGTGGCTGACGTATATGGAGAAAAGAGTTGGAGAGAGCGAAGATCCCTGAGGAACACCAATGGTTAGTGAGAGGGGGAAGAAGGGGTTTTATTGGGAATAATGATTGTTTGGGATCTGTGATACAAGAAGGAACGGAACATAGAAAACCATACTGAAGGAGATTTAGGAGAGGTTTTTGCTTAAGAAAGGTATTAAGCTGTGAATGGACTAGTCTTCCGAGAGGTTTAAAAAGATTGGGGAGGATGGAGATGGGTCTGAAATCGAAAACTTTGGAGAGAACCGGACCTTTGCTCAATGGGCGGACTGTAACTTTTTTCCTTGCTGATGTGAAACTGGAATTTTGTAGGGAAAAGTTGTAAATATACAAGAGGACAGGGAAGATGACAGGGAGGCATAGTTTGTACTAATTTCACTGGGATTAGATCCGGACCCTAGTCATTTGTTCTGAATTTGAGGACAGAGGAAAGCAGATCTACCGGTGTAATATTTGTAATATAAATATGTAAGGTCAAAGAAAGTTTTAGGAAAGCAGCGTGAGGAGGAGAACGATATTAAGATAAAATCCGAAAACTAGGAATTCAGTCGATCGGGAGAAACCAGATAGGAGGTACAGGTATTTTTATTTTTATTTATTCCAAAATAATAAATTGTTAAATCTTCATAGAAATTGCATTTAGGTAAATTAAACATAATATTGATGAACATTACTGCACAGTGCCGATTTCCGTATTTTCCAAATTGCCATAAGTTGTAGAAGAAATGTTCATGGAATTATGTATTCAGAGATTCTCCTCTTTGGTTTATTTACTTCGGGATACATAATGATGTTTTTGCATAGCCTTATCGGGATAACCGAGCATAACCTTACCATCATCAGTTGAGCTTAAGTTTAATTATAGATGTTTTCAATTCAATTTCTAACTGCTGAATAATTTGTTTTGGTTGTTAATTTAGAATGGTAGATAATGCATATATATTGGATAATGGAGGTTATAGCATTAAAGTTGAGCATTCACGTGCCAAAGAACCAAAGTAATTGAAATAATAAATTTATAAGAATGACAAATTATCAGGATTTTCAGTCTAGATTTGTTTTATTCGTTCAATAAATTTTAAGATTCAAAGATATAGATAAGCTGAATGGAAAAAAACTATACTGAAAATTCTGATTATTTATCATTTGATTATTTTAATAAAAAAGTTAACAAAACATCCTTCTTTGAAACAATAAAGAGTTAAATTTATTTTACCTTTCCACTTTTAAGTTTTTTTTTTTTTTTTTATCATTTAAGGATTATTCCTAATTGTATAATGAAGGCTAAAAGTGAAAGGAGAAGACTGTTTGTTGGAGATCAAGTTGAAGAATGTAGGGATGCTTCTGGTTTATTTTACCTTTTACCTTTTCAAAAGGTATAATTCAGTTTGATTAATTTAGAAATGAAATCTCTATTTATAAAATGTGTCTATTATTGTGATGTTTTCAGGGCTTATTAATTAATTGGGATTATCAGAAGACTGTTTGGGATTATGTTTTCAGTAAAGAGTGTTGTCCATCTAATTTTTCCGAGACTCCAGTTATTATAACTGAGCCTTATTTTAATTTTGCCAGTATTCAGGAAGCTACTGCAGAGATATTTTTTGAAGAATATGAATGCCAATCATTTCTCAGGATGAATGGTGAGAAGTACAATGTAATGACCATCAGAGTTCTATGCTAAAATTTAAATATACATATAATATCTTATTTGTAATCCATTGATTGTTTACTTTGAGCCGATATGATATGCAATTCTGTATTACTTATTTTATCATCATTGGTTTTATAAATGGAACATTAAATATTGGTGTCCATTTATTAAGCTTTTTTTTTTACAATAACAATTAGTTTGTATAATATGGCACAGTTTAAATTGGAAACTGAAGTAAATTGGTGTTCTAAATCATTCTTAAATAATTTACATTATTATATTCTGTTCATTAGAAATATATATATTATAAATTTTACTTTTTCTCCCCTCCTATAATAGGTCACATGTGTCAAATCTGGTCGACAGGGTCAAGATCATATTTATAACACTCTAGACTCCTGATGATTGCAAAGTGTGTCTGTAAGAATGATGGAGAAAAAGCTAACATAGCGAGCCCTTACACATTGTTTTCAACAATTGGCTTCTTTTAGGATTCCATCTGTAGTAACTTTGATGTGATCTCAACATACCTGTCAACCAGATGTGACACTTGTGAACTAGTAGCTGATCTACAGTTTATGTAATTTATTATAAAATGATCAGGTTTTTTTTTTTACGTAGTTATTTCTTTTGTCCAGCTGGTAGTCTTTCTGAGTACCACTACCGCCATGAGAATCCAAATGCACTTTGTTGTCTGGTAATCGATAGTGGTTATAGTTTTACACATATAGCTCCTTATATTAAAGGAAAGAAACAAAAAAATGAAATAAAAAGAATTAATGTTGGAGGAAAAATATTAACTAACCATTTAAAAGAAATCATATCATATAGGTAATATTTTATCTTTTCTAATAATAATATTGTATATTATTTTTTTACTTTTTGAATTTCAGTTAATTTTTTATGTTATAGGCAACTTCATGTTATGGAAGAAACATACGTAATGAATCAAGTTAAAGAAGATACATGTTTTGTTTCTGTTGATTACATGGCAGATATGGCTACGGCGAGAAAAAAGTATCCTGGAAATGATATTGTTAGGGACTATATTTTACCGGATTTCACAAATCTTCGTCGTGGTTATGCTCAAACATTAGACCAACCCCCAGTTACTGAACAAGTAAGTATATGAAACTAATGATCAGATTGAAGTTGTTCTTTAAAAAAATAGTATGCACTAGTAAGTGATATACTATGCAATAGAATTAATTTAATCAGGGAGTTGAAATTGAATTTGAAAAGTTTTCAATGAGGTGGAAAGTAAATGAAAGTAATAATTATATAATTATTCTATTTTATGTCATGTTTGAGAAAGAGATTATTCAAGACTCTATTGATTGGAAATGATTGGAGGGTTTTATTCAGTTCATCCAAATTAAATTAAAAATCTGAAAAACACTTGATTTATTTAATAGATAGTTATATATGCTTCTGAAAATAAGCTCCACGGGTGCACAAAAAAAAAAAATCCTATTGCCATTAACTGTCAGTCCAGAAATACTAAATCAACCTTGTTCTTAACATTTTATTTGCATTTAATGAAATTTATGTCAATTGTAAACACTACATAAGCAATGAAATATTGGTCCTTATTTTTACTTTCACTTACGTATATATGTGATATATAGTAAGGGTAAGTATTGCGATCATGAAAATTTTCGAATCTCAGTTTTCAACAGAAATACATGTTTTGAGGTTCCCTGAGTCCAAATAACCAAGTGTTGCAAAATGGTCTGTGTGTGTGTATGTGTGTTAACAGTCTACCTCATAAACAAAAAGTAGTACAAAACTGATATTAAGTATTTAAGGTTTGCATATGGGCCGGATGTGACAGCAACTTTTTTGTTAAAATCGGCTAACCGGAAGTGCCACTGTATATGAACGCTGAAACACATTTTTACTATTTTCTCAAAAACGGCTCTAACGATTTTGATTTAACTCAGTGTATCATTGTATAATTAAGTGGTCTTTAATATCATTTAGGTCTTATCTCCGTTGATGTCACCTTACAGGGCTTAAATGCCCAATGTTCATATATGTCTTCTTTTAAAGTACCTTTAATATGTTTTATTTTAAAAAGTTAATCATTTCGCATTATTCAGAGTTACGAGAAAATGCTACATATAACTTTTGAAAGAATTTGATAAGTTAATAAAGGAGAAAAAAATAAAAATGCTGAAAAACCTGCGTTGCTATAGATTGTAGCGCCTAAACGAATGTACCAATTTCAATGAAACTTCGATAAAGTCATTTTCTCGACACCCTTTAAATTTATCTATATAACATACTTCAACAAAAAGAAGCTAGAAAAAAAGTTATGAGCGATGGTAAAATTAAATTCCGAATAACTCAAAAAGTATACACTTTTTAATGGATATTGTGATAAGATGTTTCAAAGGTATTTCCTAAAAAAATTCATTAAAATCGGACTATTAGGAGAAAAGATATGGTCTATAGTTTTTTTCGAGGCGAAGATTTGGATAAATTTAAAATATACTTTTTTAATTGTTAAGACTAAAAAAAACTTTTTTCTACAGATATTTAATAAAGTATCTTTCATAAGAAATAAGTACATAAATTTATACCTTTATTCTCAGTTCTATATTTCAACACTGTAATCACCACCTCCGGAATCAACTTACTCACTGTCTGCATAGATAACTTTTTAAATTATAAATGTCACTAAAATGACATTACTCAAAAATGTTGAAATTGGAGTTAGCCATTCTGTGGTTTATAAAAGCAAAGAAAGTTGTGTGGTTTATAAAAGCAGATGGAGTGACTAGTTTTTTATTGCCTACCGTTGATATATAAGAAATATATAAGTCCTTGTGCGCCTGCTGACTAGGAGCAGCTATTATCCATGGATCTAGATCGATTTGTCGCTGTCCTTAAACACGAGAGAATCGGTGGGAAGGACACTACCAGATTGGCCCCAAGGGGATCGACTATAGAGCTACGTGTGACCTCCCACTGCACCATGGAAACCATGGTTCATAGCAACAGACCCCGTCCAGGCTTTCTGAGCTCCCGCAAGTATCACATGTCTGTAAGGAGACCACATCTCGTGGCCAAAGATCTTCATGATCTGTAGTGCCAACCGAAAAAAAAAAAAAAAATATATATATATATATATATATATAATTATTATTTATAGATATTTTCTGCTTCTATGTTCTTTTTAACCCTTTGATGAAAAAATAGAGAGCAAGCAAAGTGGGCTACTGGAACAGAGACTTCAAGAAGGCAAAGAGTTCTCTGAAACAAGATGTTTTCCTTGTATGTCAATGTAACAGTAATAATTTAGAAAAATTATTTAATAAATTGAGTATTTCTTTTGTTTTTGTTTTTTAAATTTTATTGTCTATTTTTACTAGACCAATTAATTACACAGAAAGGTTAAAAAATCAAGTGATAAATAAACAATTTTTATTTAATAAGTAGAATGTATAAGGGAGGATGGATATTATAGCCAGTTGTTTTCATTTTCATGTTTACTAATCTTTATAGTATAGCTTATAGTATTTTTTTCTTTTACTTCTAATAGTGTAATACTCAATTCATTTTGTTTTCAGCAAAAGTTACGGTTGAATAACGAAAGGTTTGCCGTTCCAGAATTACTGTTCACTCCTTCTGATATTGGAATAAATGAAATGGGCATTGCTGAAGCAGTCATTGATAGTGTTCAAGCGTGTCCTGAAGAAGCTCGCTCTCATCTTTATAAGAACATCATCCTGACTGGAGGGTGTGCATTGTTCCCAGGATTTAAGGAGCGATTGTATAAAGATGTTAGGGCTTCTGCTCCAGATGAATATGAAGTGCATATTACACTCCCTCCAAAGTAAGTAGAAATTAAAGATTTTGGTTTAGTATTTTAATTCAATTAAGTACTTGAACTATTAACTTTTTTATTAGGACTCGGGTATTCATTATAGGAGTGGTTAATGGTTTGGGAAAACCTATGCCTGTACATTCATCTACCATTTTGGTACTTGTTTATTTTTTTTTAGGTTTAGACTTTTTGCTTTTTCAAATACCGTTTTTCTTTCCAATGACTCTTTTTGTCTATAAATTATTGATTTTTGGTTTGTCTTCTGACAGATGTGCCCTTGGTGGTATATAATAGTATGCACAATAAATCATACATTCAGAATAAAATAGGCACCATTCATAATTTCTCTCCCAGTCAACCAGTGATGCCTTAATCCTGACTAGGACGTATAAGCTGGGTTCCATTGTAGTTAGATATTATTATATATATTTTTTGCTTCTGATTTACTGATATATTGTGTTGGCAAATAAGTCCTTTCGATTTTTGGGTTTATTTTTATGTCACAATGATACACTTCTTATCTTATGAATTAATCCCTATGGTGGATTGTTTATCCTGTTTGTAATTTGTCAAAAACTATATCTGTTAACTCTTGTTGAAACTAGCTTGGTATTGTGTTTGCTATTGCACTGTGAATATGGAAGAAAATATTTTAAAAAGGTAAGTGTGCTGCAGAAGCTCATAGAAAAATTTGTAGTGTTTATGGCAATGATGCCTTAACCAAACACACCTGTCAAAATTAGTTTGCCTAATTTCATTTCAAATTTTGACATCAATGATGATCAACGGTCTGGTCGCCCTCATGAAATTAAAAACAGTAATGTTAAGGCCATTGTTGATGAAAATCAGTGCGAGAGATTGCTATGGCCATAAATATGCCACACACAAGCGTAGGAAACCATTTCCACAAGCTCGGCTATGTTTCCAGGCTTAATGTTTGGTTCCGTCACAGTTTTTTTTTTTTTTCCATAATCACAAACAATGAATCAGGCAGTGGATCAGCTGATGCGAAGGATGTGTTCTGAAATCTTCTCTCAGTTGTTGCCTATTTTTCAGCGGAATCTCTTTGATTATTTACTGCATACAGTTGAAGTGTACACCAGAGCAGTTGTTATTTACAGTTTGCTACATTTTTTTATTTTTTATTATTTTTTTTTTTTTTATTTTTTTAATTTTTTTTTCCTTCTCTTATGATATGCGGCATTGTCAGCCAGTGATGTCCAGTAAGGTGCCCACTAAGAGGACTCGGTCAGACGGCGTCAGTACCCCTCGTGATTCACCAGTGAAACAAAAAACTCGTCGCTGCCTGCGAGAAATAGCTCCGATAACCACAGTGAAAACTTCAGATACAGAACCTCAGCCTCAACCAGGTACCTCTTCGCAAGAAATGGTTGAAGAATCTCCTTTCTTCACTCCAAACCCGTTCCAAGTGCTTCATAATGACAGAGAAGTAATGGAGTCAGCAGCAGTACCCAGGGAACCAAGGCCTCCTCCGATATTTGTAAAAAATATCAAAAATTTTCAACTACTGTGTACACAGCTAAACGAAATCTGTTCCGGCAGTTATTCTTGCCTCAACAGGACTAACGACACAAAAATAACACCTGATACTGCAGAAGCCTACCGAAAAATTGTGAAGTACCTATCGGAAATGAATGCAAATTTCCACACGTACCAGCTGAAACAGGAGAGATCGCTACGAGTGGTGGTAAGAAATTTACACTCCTCAATCCCAACTGAAGTGATAAAAGAAGAACTAGGGACGCTTGGTTTCAAAGTGCGTCAGGTAACCAACGTTCTGAAGGAGAATAAGGAGCAGCCAGGAGTGAGTAATAAAGTTCCACTATCTTTATTTTTCGTGGATCTAGAGCCATCACCTGGCATTGAAAAAATATATGATATCAAGAGATTGTACTACACTATCGTGAAGATAGAGAAGCCATACCCCAAGAAGGAAATTGTGCAGTGCCACAATTGCCAGGCGTATGGCCACACGAAAACTTATTGTCACCATCTGCCGCGTTGCGTGAAATGCGGTGAACAGCACAAATCTGTGGAGTGCACCAAACCAATACAAGATCCTGCAATGTGTGCACTATGCCAGGAGGGACACCCGGCCAACTACAAAGGCTGCCAAACCTACAAGAGCCTCAAATCCAGATACCAGAAGAACCGGATTCAAGATGAGACAACCAGACCAAGAAGAGAACCTTCTAGAATTGTTAACAATAATTTATCATACTCCGAACTACTTGGAGGTAAGAACCTTAATAATACATGTGAAGCCCTGCCGCAGCAACTACCTCAGCCCCAATCTCAATATTCTGTTCATCCTAACACACATAATCATCAACAACCTCAAATTCCTCATATTCCTCCTCCTTCAAATGCAACAGATCTCACTAGTTTGTTAGCATCTTTCCTAACCGATTTCAAATCCCTAGTCACTCCACTCATATCACTCCTTACAAATCTCGTATCTCACCTCATCCCTCCTTTGAAAAATCCTTAATGACCCACATCCCAAAACCCATGTCCATTCTCCTTTGGAATGCGAATGGTGTTAGAAATCACGTTGACGAACTAACAGCTTTACTACAAGACAAGAACATTGACGTAGCCCTAATTACAGAAACTCGACTGACCATAAAACAGCATTTAAAAATCCCATAGTATTTAACATACCGTACTGACCACCCTGATGGCAGAGCACATGCCGGCACTGCTGTCATCGTACACCAATCCCTCTCCCATCACTTACTCCCATTACCTACTCAAGATTTCCTACAGTCAACCGCTATTGTAATCAAAGCCTTCTCCTTTCCAGTCACCCTTGCATCATCATATTGCCCTCCTAACAGATCCATATCCAAAGTCCAGTTCAGTTCTCTCCTCAACTCCTTAGGTCATCATTTCATCCTGGGTGCAGACTTAAATGCCAAGCATCAAGTTTGGGGTTCAAGAACCACGAATTCTCGTGGCAGAACATTTCTGTCTGCACTCAATACCCAACGTTTCAGTCTCCTTCCACCCAACTCACCTACCTACTGGCCCACAGATCCTAACCGCAATCCCGATATCCTTGATTTTTTCATCCACAGTGGCTTAGGTCCCCTCAATCATTCCCTTACCCCTCTTGCCGAACTATCCTCAGATCATAGTCCATTATTACTCCAATTATCTCTAGCTCCTATTCCTAAGTCTTCTCCACCGTCCTTCATCAGAGGCCCAGTTAACTGGAAACTCTTTCACCAAATCCTTACCAATAAAATTGACCTCAGAATGACCCTGAAAACCCCAGATGACCTTGACAATACCGTACACTTTTTTACCACCACTATCCAACAAGCAATCTGGACTGCTTCCTCTCCAAACCACTCCTCAAGAACTCCTAAGAAAAATAAGTTACCTCAACACCTCATAGACCTAATCCATACCAAACGCCGTGCCAGATTATTATGGCAACGTACTAGACACCCCACCGATCGCCAATCCTATAATTATTTTTGCAAAAAACTAAAGATAGAATTGGCCACCTTCAGATCCCAACCCTTCAACTCCTACCTCACTTCCATGTCTTCTCATGACAATTCCCTATGGAAGACCACCAAACATATCCTAAAACCCTATCATATATCACATCCTCTCCGTCGAGGTGATGGCTCTTGGGCAGCATCTGACGAAGATAGAGCCGAAGAATTCGCCAAACACCTTTCCCTTACATTCACCTCTCATCCAGAATCCAATCCCACCCACACGTCAGCAGTGGAGGAATTCCTTAATTCACCCATCCCACTCTACTTACCGCCTAAAGCAGTTAATCCTTCTGAGGTCAAATTCCTTTTACAAAAACTACCTACCCGTAAATCACCTGGATACGACCTCCTTACCTCTCAGATCCTTAGACAACTCCCTCCTAAAGCTGTCATATTCCTTACATACATACACAATAGCATCCTACGAACCACCCACTTTCCTCTTTTGTGGAAACATTCCACTATTATCCTGTTTCCGAAACCAGGCAAACCTCCCAACACCTCAACGTCCTACAGACCAATTAGCCTTCTTCCGATTCTCTCAAAAATCTTTGAAAAGATCCTCCTGAAACGCATCCTACCCTTTATAGAATCCCAAACTCTTCCTTGGCATCAGTTCGGATTTCGTTCACAACACTCTACAGTCCAACAAGGACTACGAGTGGTTGATCATATTTCCGCAGCATTGGAAAGCATGCAATATTGCTCGGGTGCATTTCTGGACATAGCTCAAGCTTTCGACCAGGTATGGCACGCCGGGCTTCTTTCCAAGCTGAAAAACTATCTTCCTCAGTCCTTGTACCTTGTTCTCCGTTCCTACCTCTCAGATCGTACCTTCGGAGTTCGTTGCAGTACTGAATTTTCGCATTGCTATCCAATTGAGGCAGGTGTTCCTCAAGGTAGCATATTGGGTCCCGTCCTTTACATCCTCTTTACCGCCGATATCCCTGTCCATCCCGATACCTTCCTGGCAACTTTTGCTGATGACACCGCCATTCTATCATCCGACTCAGATCCCAACATAGCATCCTTAAATCTCCAAAACCACCTCACCTTGATTGAGCACTGGTGTAATAACTGGCGCATTAAAGTTAATGAATCTAAATGCCAACATATTACCTTTACACTCCGACGCAGTTCCTGTCCACCAGTACACTTTAATTCCATCCAGCTTCCTTACTCAGACACAGTCTGGTATCTTGGCTTTCATTTAGACCGAAGACTAACGTGGAACCCACATACTAGACTCAAAAGACAAGAACTCAACCGACAATACGGCCAGCTATACAGACTACTAAACAGAAAATCCAAACTTTCTATTGAAAACAAATTACTTATCTACAAGACAATACTGAAACCTATATGGACATACGGACTTGAACTGTGGGGGACAGCAAAAGCTTCTAACATCAAACGTATTCAATCCTTTCAATCTAAAGTCCTTCGAACAATAGTTGATGCTCCGTTCTATGTAAATAACAAAATCCTACACCATGACCTTAATATCCCATTTGTCCTAGACCTTATTCCAGAAAAATTCTCCAACTTTCACCAGAACCTTACCTATCATCCAAATCCCCTTGCACAATCTCTATCCAGCACCACCCATCCTTACAATCCTCCTCGAAGGTTGAAGCGGCTGTGGCCCAGAGACCTTTTGTAAATAAGCATCTATTGGAGTTTTGGCAATGGCCAGATCCTCCACTCAAGCCCGAGTGTGTATGATTAGGTTAGTTCTTTTGTTTATATACATTTATTTTATTTATTGTATTTATTTTTATTTTATTTTGTTGTATTTATTATTATTAAGTTTCTGTATTATTATTTTTTTTTTTATTGTAAATAGAGTGTGAGTGTGCTTTCTCTGAACACTATTATAAATGTCCTTGATGTGACAGAATGTAATATTTCTAAATAAACAAATATAAAAAAAACAAAAAAATCACAAACAATGTTATAACTTCAATACGACTTTAGCTATCTACAAGAGATTTAGCAGGAATTTAGAGCCACATAAACTACACAAAATGACATCAACAGGACCTTCGTAAACAAACTATAAATGGAGATGAAAAATATAAACCTATAAGGAGATTTTGTTATTTTTTCGTTATGTAGGTATTAAATAAAAAAACATTCATACGACTTTGAAGATAATTCAGCTTTCCAACGTATATAGTAACATTGAATTTGGAGAACATCCTGAAGAGTTATGAATGATCGGAAGGGTGTTTTGTTTCACCAAGACAACGCTGGGTCCCACACCTCATTGGTCACTCACAATAAATTATTGAGCCTTGGATGGAATATTTTGCCCCACCCTTCCTATTCAACAGACCTAGCTCCAAGTGATTACCACTTATTCCGGTCTCTGCAGAACTCCATGAATGGAAAGAAATTCCAAAAGGGAGAGGACATCAAAAACCACTTGGATCAGTTTTTTTACAATAAACTCCAGACATCCTATGAACATGACATTATGCAGCTAGTGGAAAGGTGGGAAAAAGTCATATTAAATAATGATCAATATATTGTAGATTAAAATCAATTTTATGTCTATAATACAATGAGTTTTACTTCACCTTGAAATACCAAAAGGACTTATTTGCCAACCCAATACTTTAATATATATTTGTCACTACTATTAGAATATTAAAATAAAAATTAATATTCATTTTATTTATAGCCCTATCACGTATGCTTGGCATGGAGGAAAACTTATTAGTAAAGATCCTGAGTTCTACTCATTTGTTGTAACGAAAGAGGAGTATGAAGAAGAGGGCTCTCCAATATTGATGGAAAGATTTGATAATTAAATTAAAATTAAAATTATTAAAATGATAATAGTAAGTTTGTACAAATTTATTTACACTTATTTTTTTTTTTTATCATTGATGGATGATTATAGTGCGACCATGAGTAGTAGACAGCCCAATGGTGAACTCACAAGGCACTAAGTTGAAACTAATCAGTGTGTCTTTCCCTAACTCTTCACCATCACTAATAAAATATTTACTATGAGTTTATCCTTGGGCTGCTATGCAATCATGGTCTAATTTTAGCTGTGTTAATTCCACAGTAAAATACAAATTATTTTAATAATGTAAAATATAAATATTGGTTAACAAAAATTGGAAATGTAATGAAATTTAGCTAGAAAACATAATGGTTCTACGTTTTCAGTGGAGTCCCAGTTATCTTAATTTATATTTTTGCATTAACAAAAATAGGTGAAAGGGAAAATAATTTTTATTTTAAGACAGAACATCCCCTAATTGTAACAATATAAAATAATAAGTATTTAAAATTTATGTATTGCTGCAGTGATTTTTGCAGGTGTTTCTTGAGAATTTATTGTTTGTAATATTTACTTTTAACTAATTTTCATAATATAATATTTGAATGGTTTTGGATGTCAACAATTATATATAAAAATTGCAAAAGATATTCAAATGATCTAGATGATTCGAGTTGGTCAGCAGTTTAAACTTAACCTAAAACATTACACTGGCTATATAAGCCCGACCAGCTAGTACTATTAGTAGGAGAGCAGGTTAATTCATATTTTGTCGATTATTTAGAATTCTGCTCGGAAGTGAATTCTTTGATAGAAAATTAGTAGTGAGCATTGATAAGGTTACATTGTCTTTTGTTTATAGTGTCTACAAATTTCATTGATGTGTATTATGAAGTGGAGATTGCAATCGTATTCATGTTAAATCCAAGGCCTACTGTATGGACTGTATTTTAAATTAATAATTGAATTGTAATTTAATAATACAGTAAATAGTAATCAATTAATTGATAAATTTAGTTGTTAAATTTGCTGATTTAATTGCGACTATATCTTTAAAAATTTAAAATCAATACTTATGTTCATTTTTTTTCAGATCAAAAACATCTCATGAGGGACTTAGTTATTTGAAGACTAACTGTTCTCAAGGAATAAATTTTATGTTTGTATTTTAACAAACGAATGTTTTCTCAGGAATTTTTTTTATTTTATGTAATAAGAAAACACTTTTTTTTATGTACAAGAATAAATTTTGATTTTTAATATATTTTGATTTTATTAATTTTTTTGACCTGTCATACTTATAAACTGCTATAAAAGTTTCTATAACATTGATGAAAAAAAAAAAAAAAATACTGAAAATCTCTCAGGGTCTAATAAAACTTACGATGTAAGGTCTAATGTATGTAAGGGATAACACGCATGTATAAACAAGTTATCCCATGACCAGTAATTTGAATTGCTTTCAAGAGTTCATTCATTTCCTAACTTGATTACATTCAGCTGAAAGTTGTAAAATCATTCCCAAATCATCCTTGGGGCGAATGAACCATTCCTATCTATAGAAATTTCTATTCTTGGAAATCTACGTTAAGACTAGTAGTGAAGTGGAGGACATGGCATATGAGAGGTACTAGCAATCTTTAGGAAAGACAAGGGTAAAGGTCTTTATAAAATTATTCGGATGTATAATATTTCACTAACATTCAAGTCTGTTGAATGAAAATAGCATGCAAGAATGTGTGAATGTTTTGAATTCGAAGTTTTTTAATATTTAAGTTAAATTTTAATAAATTAAAGAATTAATGTTAATTGAAACTGTAAAATACTGATTATTTGTGAAGGAAGATCATAGTTATGTTTTTAATCTCAGTAACCAATTAATGAAGATGTTTTGTGATTTTACAGAGATTCCCATCTAGCTACAATTGTTTTTTTTATAAGATTGATGGTGTTGTAAACAAACTATGTACTTCTTTTTATCATAGGTATCACCTACAACAATTTCAAGGAATAAGTTTTGAAAAACTAGGTAAAGTGATATAAGTTGATTGAATTGCAATTTGGTTTTTATTTTAATTACAGTATAATTTATAATAGATTATCATGAATAATTTTTTTCATGTTTGAAACAAACATTTTTTATACACAATTTGGTTTGTCCGGTGTGGTTGCCTGTATCTGTAATTACTTTTCTTCATGATTATTTTTTTTTTCCTCTGGTGCTAAATTTATTCCTTGTTGTAGCATGTGGGCAATTGTTTCAACTGTCTCCTCTTGGGCGTGGATTTGCTTAAGCGCATTACTAACAATGCACAGGTCTCCTCTCAATTCTGAAACCAGTGCAGTTATCTTCTGGGCATTGCTTAAAATTTCCACAGTCTGTGTGTAAGGATTATAACGGACTCCAAAGGGTCTTTCGATGTTCATTGCGTAAGCTCTGTAACATTTCAAATATTTTTTTAAATGAGAAAATTTTTAAAAGAAAATTGACAGTTTTTTCAATAAGTGAAAACTGATAGTTCTTACATGACTAAAACAATAGTTACAAATCTTTCAATTCTTAAAATCTCTATAGTTTTAAATTCAAACATGTTTTACAAAACAAATAATTAATCTTGTTTAGGTGTTATCCTTATAACTTATAATATGAAATATATTATAAATTTTAATGATGGAAACTAGTAGGTGTCAAAACTTAAAATTTTTTTTTTTATTTTTATTGGGAAAATGGTTTTTGCTTTGTAAAATTTTTTTGTAGAGATTAATATTTTATACATTGTTGCTATTGTTTTAATAAAAAATATTAAAATATATGTAACTAAATGAAGTGATGGCTTGGCAAATGATTTATAAAGATTATCGCATTAATGCTCAAATTTTTCATTATGATTAAAGAAAGATTTTTTATACAATTATAAACATTTGGATTGACCTCATTTTCTCCTTTGCCTCTTCGAATGAATCAGTATAATAATAGGCATTTTGGAATGATGTTATGATGCACTCTTCCTTGCAAGTTATTTCAGGATCAAATCTCTTGATCTTTTCTTTTGCTTCAATCGCATGCTTAAGCTCTGCAATTGATGACAATAATCCCGCTCCATAGACCTTTAGTTCTCCATCTTGTTTGCATAAACCGAATTCAACTGTGAAGAAGTAGAGCTGAAAATAGTTTAAAAAAAAATGTTTGTTAAGGATTATTGGAACTAAAATTTCCAATTTAAATGCTTTTTTTTAAAATTAAAATTCTGTTATTTATATTGCTTAAAAAAATATTTTTATGAAATTACAGAGCATTTTAAGTATCTAATTATATCTGAAGTGTCAGTCAGTTTTGGTGGTAACTTAAATAACAATGGATTGAATTAAATTAAGAAAGTAAATTATTAATTAGGACAGTACTTTAACTTATAAGTGGACCCATGGTCCCATTGTCCTGCACAATTAATTGTTTTCAAGTCAAGATGTACAAATGAATACCATTAGTTTTTATTTTATTTTTAAATTGAACCTAGCATTACAAAGTAGTAAAAGCTGCCATCTGCTTTATTATATATAAATAGCTGATTGAACAATTCCTAAAGGTAGCATGTCATTTTATAACTTTATAACTAGCTTTGTTTTTATATAGTAAATAGTTTTTGTTATACAGAATACTTACTGTCGCAAGCTTTTCTATATCATTTTCAGATGCGCCAAGTGAAATGAGTCCCAATTCTTGTGAAAACTGAGCGAAACTTGGACAGGCCAGCAGAGGCATATGGCCAAGTAATTCATGGCAGCAATCTCTGATTCAAAAAAATTGTTTAAATTTTAAATTTAAGATAATATGGTCGTGCAAAATGTCATTGAGTAACATTTTAGAAAATTATATCTCAAAGTATTTTGGTGAATTTCCATTAAAAAATATATAAAGAATAAAAAAAAAAAGTGTCAAGGATAAATATAATTGTAATTAAAAAAATCAAAGAAAACAAAAAAAGTGAAAGAAAATTCTCTGAAGAAACAATTATCTGATGATATGTTTTACTATTTCATCAAAAGTTATAGTTATTAAGGAGTATTATATAATGTTTGTTATTTATATATTTTATACATTTTGTATTATATATTTTACTCACGGTTCTGGTGTATAATATGGATCTGAGCTGTGTCTGATATACTGTGTGCAGTGGAATACTCTGAATGCGAGACCAGCTAGGAAGTCTCGAGCTGACAAATAACCAGCAACTGGTCGAAGCTGATAGCCTGTTTTTCCTGTATTTTTGAATTTATATTCATTATTTTTCTTTTTAGAAATTTTGATGAACTGATTTTAAATGTTTATTTAAAAATAAAATTTAAAACTCACTTTTAAGGTACGTGCTAATGTCTTGCAACTGAGGGATATTATCCTCCCTGTATCCACAATATTTAACCAGCTCTGGCCAATTATCCAAGTATTCTTTGCAGGCATGTTTGACGTATAATTTGTGGAGTTCTCTAAATACTGTTCCCCTAAAAATAATGAACAAGATCTACAGTTACTACAATTTAACTAATAAATTAGTTACTTATTATTGGAGTTAATAAATGAAATAGAGATTTTTAATTTGTAATTAAAAATGAATAGTGCATTATTTTTTGTTTTTATTTCCTAATTTTGAAACAAGGCTTTAGCTAAAAGAGTGCCAATAACGAAAATGTGGGAAGTTAATATAAATGTGGTGAAATTAGTCTATTTCGTAATAATGTTTTTTTTTAAATGTTGAAATACCTTCAGCCAAACCTGTAGAGCCTGTAGTTGTTCCTCCATACTCCTTTTGACTATATCATGTTATGAAAAAAAAAATCCTTATATATTTCATTAAAATATATAAAACTTGTTTTTATAATGATCCAAGTCTGCTTATTATATTACAGAATTTTGATTCATTCCCTTCATGATATTTTTTCTCAAACTTTACGGTATGTAGAGTTTTAATATCATTTTTATATTTTGAATTGAACAAAAACAATCGAAACTAATTGTTTTTTCAATTATATAAAAAGCCATACCAGAAGTGTCCATCCCTCCAAGGTCGAAAGCATATGTCTCCTCTCCCAAGATATTTAATTGCTTTCCTTTTCTTAAAAACAGTGCCAGCTATAATAGACATAAAAAAATCGTAAATCATATACATTCTTTTTCTAATGCCTCTTGACTTATTTGACTTCCACCATTATTCTTCTAGCAGCTATGGGGCTGTCCTTGGTGACAGCTGTGATCCTTTGGCTCTCTTATACAGATATCCAAGCAGCACATGGTTTATAATAACAGGACTTGATCACATATCACTCCCTCTTCAGGAGGATGGTTATCAACCTTTTGCAGGATCAGCATGTTGTTTTTTACAGGATAGGGTTAATGGCCACATCCCGGTTCCCGATTTAAGTGAACGGAGATAGAGTCATCAGTACTACGCCTGGTCGGTGTGAGTTGCCTTCAATGGCTGACGGGCCTCATATAACCGAGGGGGGAGGATCTCGGGCAGCGTGGCTTTTCCTGGTGGATGGCCACACTAATCCAAGTGCCCAAGTGTTAACCACGCTCGGCAATGCTTACTTAACTTGGTTACCTATTGCAAGCACCTTAGCCCACAAAGCTACCCCAGCTCCCTATATATATAAAGTAAAAAAGTAAATAATGTGTTGAATCGATTATATAAAGTGCCATTTCTGGTTAGTTGATTTTGATGAAAAAGTTGCTGTGACATCACAGGTATATACAAATCTTAAATATGCAATTTCACTTTCATACTACTTTTCGTTAACGAGCTAGACTGGTCACATACATACACACACAGAGACCATTTTGCGGGACTTGGTTATTTGGACTCAGGATACCTCAAAACATGTATTTTCGTTGAAAACCCAGATTCGAAAATGTTTGCGATCGCAATACTGTCCCTTACTACACATGTAAGTGAAAGTAAGGGGGCGGGGTGGCCGAATGGGCTAAAGCGGTGCACAGCACCGCGAGTTGCCTGGCGTGTAAAAAAAAATGTAAGTGAAAGTAAAAAAATGTATTTGGTTTTTTGCAATTAAACTATCAATTTTATTTATGTAAAAATAATAATGTTTAATGTAAAAAAAAAAGTAAAACATTAAAGAATTTTATTTTTTCGCGATATAGTTTATTCTATTTAACAATGAACTATAAAAATGTGGTAAGATACATTTCTGAAGATAAATCTGGTTTTAAGGGAAAATTCATTATTAATTATTGACAAGAACTGTCAGATATAATAGTAATATGAAGATAGTTTGATTCATATTATTGAAAAGCAGCAAATCTAAGTTCAGAAAAATCTCGATTATTTGGATCTGCAATATCCGAAGCCGAGATTATACGGTAATAAAATCATGTTTTGAGTAAAATATATATACGTAAAGAGAAAACTGTCGATATTTTTTTTAAAATGAAGCAAGTTGCAATATTTACCAAATAAACAAGTATATTGTACTTCTACAAGTGTCATTAACATAACACATTTTTTTTTTTAGATCAAACCATATCTTTTCCAAATTTAGCGTTACATGGAATATATCCATACTACTCCGGATTGACCTGTTTCTGCTGTAAGGTTATGTAATATAGTTTTTAAAGATGGAGTAAAACGTTGGTATCTATTATTTTGAAAATCCTTATGAACTGAGTTGCGCAATTTACTTTAGCCCAAACTTTATCAAGTAAGTTTGTAAAGAAAATGGGCAAAATTTAAAAGAAGACGAACTCTCTCATTAGTGACTGAAAAGAAACATCGGAAATCGAGTTGAGATATTTTTAAGAGAGGAGTAACTTCTCGAAGAGATGGTGAAGAAGAGGGGGGGGAGGAGGGTAGAAGCGCTTGATTGCGCTCATTGGCAACCAGTCACGGAGATATTGGATTAGCCTAATCCTATATTTCGGCTCAGCTCCTACGCCCTATCTCGACATAGGACTTCAAGTTTGTTGTGTATACTCCAGGTATGAAGTATGAAGTCGTGTTTTGAAGAAGAATACAATCTCATTAGATGTAAACTAATTAGGTTTACTCAAAAAGGCGAGACGTACTTGCCACCGAAAACTTTCTCCAATAAATTTTAAACTTATTCAAATACTCAATTGATTTCACTTCTCTGACGTTGCATATAATCCTCTGAGGCGTCTGAAAGTAATCTACTGCTCCTGAAATATCCGAAAAATTCAACATATTTCAGGGTTTTTATGCTTCTAATCATGACTAATGGATCGGGAAGTTTGTGAATTGACGAAGGCAATAACGAATGGTACTGAATATCGAGTTCTAATACAAGAAGGATTTGAATCCTTTAAACAATCGAACTGGCTTACAGCAAGGAGGTGGACTCTAGCTTAGAGCTGTATAACGTTATAAAAACATTATGTGAAAATGTGGAGGAATACACGTCGGGTTCAACAACGCAACCTAAAAGTAAGTGAAGATAAAACAAAATATACAATATCCGAAAAACCCATCCCAATAAGAGAATCTACGCAGAAGAGAAATCGTTTCGAAGTGTTGACAGATTGACATTTGACAGTTGACATTCGCTCCACAATAATATTAAGGATGGTGAACGAATCAGAAATAGAACAGCGTAGAACATTCGCGAACAGACATTTCTCCTCTCTTTCAAAATAAGTGAAATCCCGAAAAATCTCTAGAATACCCAACCTAAGGGTGTACAATTCTATGAAAAGGCTAGTTCTGATGTACGACTGCGTGATCTGGACACTAACCAGCATACTGGAATGAAGTATTCAAAGAAGAAAGACCAACAAAGAACTGCTTATAGAAAATGGTCGGTCAATATCTCATGACATGAAGGCCTAGAGATTAAGATGTGCGGGGCATGTTACGTTTAAAAAAGTATCTCATATTAATGAAGAGAAGAATAGTTGGGGTGGTCAGTCAAAAAAGAAGGCAAAAATAAATGATAATATTTATTTTTACATATGCCGACGTTTCGACCTGAAGTCCAGGCCATCATCAGAGCTAAGAAAAGAACCAGATAACAAGGTATGAGAAACATAAAAATTACAGTAAAATGAAGTTGTTAGAATAATGACAATAGTCAACTTTTTTGACTATGTTTACTTCATCATTCCACACTTTGTACCTGTTATTATTATTTGTCTCTTGTTCTTACTATTGTCATTATTCTAACAACTTCATTTTATTGTAATTTTTATGTTTCTCATACCTTGTTATCTGGTTCTTTTCTTAGCCCTTATGATGGCCTGAATTTCAGGTCGAAACGTCGGCATATGTAAAAATAAATATTATCATTTATTTTTGCCTTCTTTTTTGACTGACCACCCCAACTATTCTTCTCTTCATTATCCACGACAGTCAACCATTTACCAATTATGTATCTTATTTAAACATTAACATGCATATTTTTTATAGGTTTACGTGCTTACTATGTCACGTATTGATCTGAGTTTTAACTATTTTTTTATTTATTTGCGTTTTATTTTATTTTTTTTTTACTAATTACAAGTTCGTATTACTTTAATATTTTAGTTTTAAAAAAATGTTTCATATCAAATATTTAACCATGAATACAAATATATTTTTACTTCCCGTTTATATTTGTCATACTATGTTTTAATAATTCATTAGAAATGAAAATAAGAAAAAACAACGAAATAATTTTTATTTAAAGAAATATTAACAGGAAGGAAGAAATATTAAAATATATCTCTTAATACTGTATCTATTGTATTTTTTTTTTCTCCAGAAATGTAAGCATCACATTTATGCATTTGATCCTTCAATCATCACAAATAATTTTACTTACATAATTAAGCAATTTAATAATTAATTATGATGTTTTCTTACCATGTCTTGATTTCTTCAGGGGTATACTGGACTTTAGGAATTGGCTGCCCGCTGAAACATTTAACAGATTGCATGGATATGTATCGAATTTTATTCCCCTTTTATTCTTTATAATTAATATTAAATTGAGATGTTCATTGGATCTTTGAGACAGAAAATTTATATATTTTTTAGGGATTTAAACAACAATTTTTGCAAGAGATCTTGTATCAAAAAGCTTTTATTATTATTTATTAAAAATGAAAAAAAAAAGATCTCATTCTCGAATCAACATTATTCTTTGTTTTATTTTCATCCCTGTAAAATGAATAAATTCATGAAATCAGGAATCTGTAACGTCATTTTCTTATCATATTTCGCCAACTTTATACGGGCTGCAAAGATAAAATAAAATATGAATTTCTCGTAATTGACCGATATTGGAAATGAGTTCTTACTGTTTATAGGTCCTTGCGATGGTGGCAAAAGTTTCTCTCCGCTTCCTGTAAACAGGATCCTTGAAGCCCTGAAATATTCACACAGTAATAGCTTTTTAAGAACGGACAAAAATAAAAAAAATGGTAATATGTAATATTAATTAATTTTCAACATTGCTTACTGGGTGTTCGGCATCTAGCTCTTCGCCGTACATGAGAACCTTTTGGGATTTGTCCAAATCCTGAATTTTTTTCGGAAACCATGGGATTTCTTCAAAATCTAAAAATTAAGACGTTCATTGAAATTATAAAATTGAAAACATAAAACATAAAATTGAAAATGAAACCACAATAGTGTCCGAAAACCAGAAGATACAGAGTCGAGTGAAGAAAAATTGTAGCGGAGTAAAGTGTGTAATGGAATGACCGAAGACATAAAGTCGAGTTTTATTGAAGATATTAAAATACCTCAGAAAATAAAAATCAGACCCACATACTATAAGCGAGGGGAATGTTCAGTATTTCATACTCTTTATAATGAGCTGTTATTTATAATTTATATTTCATATTATTAATCTCACCTTATTGATGTTTTCACTTCCATCGTGTGGTCTAATTTTTATCACAAAAAAAAAAAAAAAAAAAAAAAGCTCACCACGAATTTATTTTATTCGAATTTTGGATTCTACATTATACTCCTACTTTACCAACTGTTAAAAATAGTACTTATTGCTAAAATATCGGCTTACTAGACCGATCTGGAAATGAAGAATACATATATATTTAAATCTATTCTATTTTTTTTTAATGTAAAATGGAAAAACTCAAATCTTTAGTGGAATTAATTTTATTAGTTGATCGGTTTAAGATGAGAGAATTAGAAAAAGTTTTTAACACACCCAACCAAAGGCATACGGGGAATGGCGATTTTAATTTTTTTTTTTATTCTGTTTCTTGATTACAAATGTATATGATGTTTACCTTCCGATACAGATCCTATCCATCAATCCTTTCCAACTCAGTTCGGTATCTTGGGTTCCTTTCAGATCTAAGACTAATATAAAATCCACAGATCAGACTTAAAAGAAAAGAAACTAATAAGTTTTTATTTTATTTCTGTTGCTATTGTTTGCTTTTGTTACAATATTATTTTGTTTCTATAATAATTTTTCTTTTCTTTTTGTTATTGTCTTATGGTATATGGGATATATGGTATGAATGTGTTACATATAGCTTTAATGCTGTTATGTGTGACAGAATGTATTATATCTTAATAAATATATACATATTTTTAAATTCTCTATACTACGCATCCTGAAAACTTTAAATCTGAAATACAATATTTTAGATAAATCTTTGTTAGTTTTCAAAGATTTATTATTGAAGATAATAAACGAAAAGAAGTACATCTCTAGGACTTGACCATATTCCAAAGTATTATTTTAACTCTAGTTTCGTCTGCTTCTTTTTCTATCATCAGGGCAATTAAGAATCCGATTGTAAGTAGATTCAAATTCAAGATAAATTAACTTCTGAACGAACATAGGTTTTTCCCTGTATCTGTAAAGTAGTATTTAAAGTTTAAAGTGCTGTAAAAGCTGTATATTTAAAAATGTGCTTAGTTTCAGTGAATATAAGAATTGCTATAATGATGGGATAATTGTCCCGAAACGTTAGAGGTGATAAATGTGAATAAAGGGATATGAAGAAAATTAGAAGTTTTTTTGCCCTAATTTTGAAAAATTGTATAAACGTAGGCTTCCTAAAAAAAGAAAAATAAGAAATTAAGTATCTTCTACAGAAACAGGAAATATGATTCACTTAATGTTTTTTCTGTTCCAAATGAAATATGTTCGAATGATTTTTTCGGTGAATGGTTTATGGAATCTGTGTTTTTTTCCCCTTATTTTTCTTTAAACTTACATTCGTACCTACATAATAAATTATTAATAACTAACAGATCATCTGTCGGTAACATTCCCTAGTCCAATTTACTTTTTTTTGATGTTAGAAGATGTCGCATCCATGTTCTTTTTCTAGATAACTAATTCGAGTCACAATGTCGAGGTAATTTAACTCTTGTATTGATCCCCCGCCCTCTCCCCTGAAACTGGAAAACCTCATGTAATCGAAAAGGTGGAAGGAGGAAACAAAAAAAGGGCTGCCGATTTGTGGAATAATTAAATAGCAGTCCGGTTTGCTATTTCCGAAAGTATAGTAGTATTAGTTATACTAATAACAGAATAATTCTGGGTAATCATGTCGCCTACTATCTGTTTCGACAAAAGATTCGGCGTTCTTAAACTAATTTTTTTTTTACTATTTATTTATTTATCGAGTATTACAACAGTGAGTCACTTGGACATTAGTTATTGTGAGGTAGGATAACCTTTACACTATATAAATAAATATATATAAAATAAATAGAAGCAAAATAACAATAAATAATAATCAAAAAGTATATACAATAAATGAAATAAAATAACTTAAAAATAAGAAAAATTAAAACAAAGCTAAAAACACATGCATGCCTATATACACTGTTTACAATCAGAGGAGGGAACTCCAAGGCAAGCTTGTCCCACCAACTATGAAGGGAAAAGCAGGACTCCAGGAGCCTAATTAATTTTAAGTTACTCCATTAAAATTGATTTCTACTTAAATTCTACAGCTGTTGAGAGCAGTTGCCAAGACTGCAGTTGCTAAGACATTTCCTAAGCGATGACCTTGGACTTACCAAAGCTGGCGGTGGAGGACAGGGTGGGGGGCGGCAGCTCGACCCCCTCCTCGAAGGTGGTGAGGCTAATGGCGGCCACCTCCCTCCTCAGCAAGGCCACCACCTGCTCCATCTTCTTGTTGTCGCACTCCACCTCCACCAGGATCTCGAACTCGGAGTCTGCCCTCGCCGAAGGTCTCGACTCGATGTGGACAACGTTCACGCCCAGATCCTGAGCGAGGAAGGAAATTGAAATAATTTGTAAAAATCATTAAACTTTTCTCTTTATCATTGATGTCTTACTTTGAATAATTCACATTCACATCAATAATAAAATCACAAGATGAAGGTTGCACACAAATTGCATACTTCAATCCACAAGAAGAATCTCAAAGAAGAACAAGCGCGTTCATACTCCTAAGACAAACCCGATCAGATATTTTCATCTAAGAAAATTACAGAGAAGGCTTGAGATCGCAATAAAAATAATCTTTTTAGACCTGCTGGCCGCTTTTGATTCCGTGCCACGGACTGAAATATGGAATGCATAGTAAGTAAATATCTTCGTGGAACTTATTAAATCTTCCTACAAACGATCAAAAGCTAAAGACAGAATTAAAGTTGAGTATAAATTAAAGGAAAGGCATTCATGCCGAGATACATTCTAAGACCTTTTTCTCTTTATTGCCATGCTGAACGAGGTCTTAAAATTATATCAGCGAAGGACTGCACGAGCAATAGTTGGGTAATGGAACTTGAGGACAGTCCTTGCCCAAACGTTTCTCAATGTGGGTGTCATGAACTCACATCAGATTATATCCAGAATCTTCAACTAGCTTTAGTACAAGGCAAGTGGACCTGGAGAGGAAAAGTATAATTATAATTCAAGATGGCAGTCAAAGTGAAGTCATCGAAATAGGAAGAACACCTGAGGATGTGCAAGTCCCGGCGGCCGGAGTGGCCGTGTGGGCTAACGAGTGTGCACTGCACCGCCGTTGACAGGCAATCTGATATATGACTCAAATGATATGAAAATAGTCATGAGTTCGCCTCCCGTTGCCGGAGGAGTCTTTTAAATCCTCGCTCACACACCCTGGCCCGGGAAAATCCCGTATAGCCTTAAAGGCGAGGAAGGGATGAACCCCTCCCTCCCCGCCCCTCATAAAAAAAAAATCGATGATCCTGACTATTTTACATTAAGCCCGGTAACCTGACAAATTTGAAGATAAATGATGAAATAATTCATAACGAGTTCTTGTATGGAGCGGGAGCTTTTAACCTTGGCATTAATCCCCCGTTCTCTTCACTTGCGTGGGGGAAAAACTCGTATAGCCGAAAGGCGAGGAAGCTTTTGTGTATCTTCGTAAATGATTAATATGTGTTTTTATGATTCCTGTTTTAGCCATCATTGTGAAACGAAATTGCGGATGGTTTTATAGAGAAGCATCCTAGAGTGATCTGTGACAAGTAGATTTTTAAATCTTAAGGGAGTCTTTTAAATCTCCGCTCACACACTCTGTCCCGGGAAAACCTCGTATAGCCTCAACGGCGAGGAATAATTGATAAGTGTAGCCTGACGAACTCAGAGGGAACTCGTCAGAAATGAAAAAGAGGAGCTAGTGGTGAAACCATTAACTGAGAATCTATAGAAGAAATAATTAAAGAGGTTTGGACATGTGTGCCAAAATAGATCGCGGACCTCGCGACTGTTACAAAAACCCTAAAAGATGAAGGCAGAATGTCTTAACGGAAACTAATACCCTTCCAGATAGTCCGAAACCGATAGCAATAAATCATTCAGTAGAAAGGGAAACGCCAAACTCTTGAAATAGATTTAGCACAGAATATATAAAAAGGTTAAAATATTAAATATAATTGTTCAGCACAAATACCTGAAAGACTTGAAGAACTCTGGCCAACCCGCCGACTTGATTTTTAAGAGAGAATATTATAGAGTTCCTTGCCAGCGCGTTCGGGTTTCTGAACTCTGATTGTGGCAACTGTAATAGGGAGAGATAAAAAAGAACAATTTTGGAGTACGAAAGCATTTAATTTTTTAAAATATAATTGAACTTGTAATGCCTGATAAGAAGCAAGAAAGTTATTAATTCAACAACAACAATTTTAAACATAAAACTATACTTTAAAAATTATACAGAATATAAAATTAATAATCGCTGAGAGTGATGTAGTTACTTCATACTTTATCAATATTCTAGGGTTGCCCATCTCTTCCCCCAAGGTCGATAGCGAATTTACCCCTCTCACAAGAACTTTTATTATTTATTTTTTCTCAAAAACATGCAAGCAAAAGTAGAATTAGAAAAATCATTGATAATATAAAATTAAACCTGCTGGAGTTTGATTCTTGCTTTTTCTCTTGTCTCCTGGATTGAAACTTTTCATTCCAAAGATTCACAACTCCGTAGAAATGTATACCTCTCTAACATTCAAAACCGCCCCTCTCAAAATTTTTGATTTTGATGGCGCAACTTACTCCATGAAACCCACTTCTGGACACCCCTAAACTATTGTAATTAATTATGTTCATTAGAAACAACATTTCTAAGAGAGCATTGTTCTTAATAAGAAGAATCTCTTCCTTGAATTGCCGGTTTAATAGCTTTTAATAAATTCCACCAAAACATGTGTATAAGAATTTATCGATAATCAATAGTTGATTCCCTTTTCCTCTTTTTTGTGGATGATGTCGACTAGAACTATAAGTAGTGATGGCAAAAATAATTGAAACTTTGATATATCGATCTTATTTATACATTGTCATCAAAAGATCGATGTCTTTTCTGTATTTACTGGTCAAATAAATTTAGACACATATATAACTATTTATTAATATTCAATATGATTATTAAAACAAATTATTTTTATTCATCCGATAATATTAATTTTTTTAAATAAAAAAAAATATGCTGCACTTTAATATGTATATATATTTATTATTGAAAATGCTGCAACAACAGATTAAAAAACAATTACAAATGCTTTATTTCCTCTGGTTATTTACAAAACCATACTAAGTTTTATTGACATTTAGAATAATAATATGAATTCGTTTTTATTTAATATATTTTTAAATTTAATAGGTATCGCAATATCTAATAGGTCCTAAGAGAAATAAAAGCATTAAACCAGGAACTACTGAAAAGGGTTTGAGTATAAATATCAGAAAAAAACAAATGTACTGCCAAGAATTGCTGTTTGTTGTGAAGATATCAAAAGAAAATGGAAAACTGCTTAGCTTGTAAATAATTTCAGTCTTACCTATGAGACTAATACTTGGCCTCCATTACCAAAGTAAAATTCAATTCCCCGTGAGCGTTATCGGATAAGTAGGTAGATAAATGAAATAGATTTCAATGCTCAGTTTAGATTTCAATTCAGTTGATTGAGTCAGAATGAGAGAATGACTGAATGGTAGGCATTGAGCACAATAGACGGGGAAGCGACTTATAATAAGTCAAATATTAATAAAGAACAGTTCATTACGACCTTTAAATATTATTTCAAGGTTTCTTTTGCCGATAGTCCATATCTTCTTCAATTCTTCATCAAATACAATGATTGAGATCCAATGATAATTTTGAAGAATATCTTCTCCTTGCGTGTACTACGGAAAGCAAGAACATTCCCCAGAAAATAAAAAAAAAAAGTTAAGAAGAAAAGGAAACTTTATTTAGGAATAACTAAAAAAATATGCAATTTATGGTTGATTGCACCCATGATAATTTGAAAGGTTTCTGAATTACCTGAAATACGAAAAAAAAAAATCAAATAAAAATTGGACCATATTTTATAAAAAATTAGCCGATTATAATTTATGCACATGCTTTGGAATATTATTTTGATTAAAACAAGGTTAAAATAAATGTATACTTTCCTCCCAAAATAATTGTTACTTAATTTTATACACATGTTTCATTTGTTCCCTAACAATACGAAATAGGGTTAATGCACCTGTTATGGACGGGTAGGACTTTAAATGTAAATAATAAGCTCCCTTCTTAATTTAGAGATTCCAGTTTTTTCTAGATTGAAGAACAACGCCCTTTATTGACAACTGTATAAATAAAGTTCCCATAAGATAATTCCAAAATCCCTATCATTGTTGTTTCTATTCTGTTGTATTCTATGCCTATCATTAGTGCTCTTGAGATCAATATTTTTCATACCTTCCTACTAGGAGTTTTGCTAAGATTAAGTTGGACATTTATGTTATCCTTTCTTTATAGTTACATAAAGAATATCGAATTTTTCTGAGGTATGTATATTACTGGTACCGACCTCCTGTCCGTTACAAGAACAATTGAATTTCTAGGTGTCCATCACTAGTGCAAAAAGTTTTTTTTTTTTAAATGGTGATTATATCTGCATAATTGAATGTTTTTCCAATTTTGAAGTCTTTAATAGAAAAAGGAGACCGTAGAGATTCTAATTGTACAACGGAGAAGTTTATAACTATAATAATTACGGCGCCATACTCGGAAAAAGACAAAAATTTCTTTAGCTATGTCCACCACTGGTGCGCTTACCCTACGGTCAATCAAGGGCCAAATAGTTATTATTATATTTTAAATAAGTTAACTTTTAATAATATAATTAAATACTTACTTGTGGTATGGGTGGTGCTTCCTTGATCGACCATGACTCGCCACTCCGGTAAAGCCAGAGTCCAAGAAGGCTTTTTCCGCTCATCTTTGATGTTTAGTATTCACTGGCTCTAGGTTGGATGGTCATTTATATATATATATATATATATATATATATATATATATATATATATATACACACATACATACATACACACATAATGGTATTTTAGGCATTAAAAGAGTAACGGAGAAAGAATAATTCATATGAATTGTTTAGTTATGAATCAACCTATTTCAGATATTTCAAGGACTGTGTTATATTTCTGATTTAAATGTGAATTAAATGATATTCACTTCTCTTTCAATTTTATTTGTGTACAAAAATTCAGCGTTGAGTTAGCTGCACTTAGCTGAAGTTAATAATTACATTTTAAAGCTCTTTAAATATTGAAGATCTAAATGGAAAAAAAAATGTTATATGAATTTTATTAAAATTGAGATTTTCACTTCGAAGAATATTTTAGACTATATGCTTACTACATTGAACACCCTTTTTTTGTCTTAAATTTTATCGGTCTTCAGGAGTAAACATTTATTTTTCATAGAGTTCATTTTTTCCAAATTATAATTATGTAACATTATACTCAACAGGATCTTTCTGCTAGCTCTTCACTCGTAGTCCATTTATAAGTAAACGATGTTCTAATATGAAGAAGGGGACTGAATCTAGCAATTAACTTTATTTTGTTTAATTGAGTTATTGGAATAAAAAACTGTATTCTTCTAGAGAGTTGGAAGTTTTTAGCTCAAATTCAGAAAACAATATATAATACATATTTTCACGACGGTCTGGAAGAATAGAGCTTTTCATTATAATTCCATTTATACCAATAACTCAATTAAAAAAAAGTAATATTCCTGTATTTTTCTTTACCTTTCATCTATTCATACATACATTATTGTATAATTAATATGCTTTTTATCTTCTATTTTTGATATTTTCAATTCTTGATTTTCGGGACTTCTCTAAGTTATGTTTTATCAATCTAAAGAAAAGTTTTTCGACATTTTATTTGTTTTCGAAACATTTAGAACTATATCCAGGCCAAGAAAATTTAATATTGAAGTGAAAGGAAATACAATTCTGCTTATCGTAGAATTAAATTGTTTCTAAATAAAAAAAGGAATATGTCTCAGGGAAATATGAAAAATTCACGACTTATTATTTCAATCAAAAATGGAAAGGAGACTTTCGTATTTTATTTTTTCCATCGAGAAACATAAAAAAAAAATTGTATTACACTTTTTTTTTTATTTATAAAAATTACTTTATGTAAATAACTACTAAATTTTATCGATAATCTATTAATGTTTTATAAAAAGACCTAATTATTCCCACAAATTGTATTTCATTTATAAAAAATCATGTTAACAAGAAGTTTTTTTTGGTTCCGGCTTTGATGCCATTTTAAACACTCTAAAAAAACACTGTCATATCAACCAATAAAAAAAAAATAGAATAGTACTTGTAAGGTTACTTGAGCAACCTTTAAACACTTCATCTGTTACTTATCTTTAAATCAGATGTTAATGATTATTTATTAGAAAATACCTTCTTGTATTGTTATATTGGATTAGTGTTATAATTAACTTGTGTTGTAATAACGTGTAATTAAATTCTTTTACTTTAATTGAATAAATCACGTCTATAAAAGATCTTAGACACTCTATATTAGTAACTATTAAATTAACATAGTAAATTTATTTTTTTTATCGTTTTGTTAAGGACAGTTTTCCTCATTATCCATTTCTTGAATAGCTGATTTTCAGCGACCCATTCATTATTTTTCCAAAAAAAAAATACGCTTTTCACTTATGGAAAATAAGCTAGGATTTAGGATCCTGTCTACTTCACGAAATGGCACAAACCAGATAACCGTAATCAAATCAGAACTAGAGACATAAAACAAACACTTTTGAAGAGTTTTTCATTATTTATTCTTTACGAAAGCGTAACACCTAAATGTTATTGATATCCTTTAAAAGAGCTATAACTCTGCTTTACAACGGTTGCAACAACCTTGATTAGGAATTATAGATACTTTTTAAAACGGTATGAAAAAAAAATTTCTCCATAAAATACATTTATATTATAAAATATATTTATATATAAAAACATATATAAAAAAAAAAATAAATAAAAAGTTCATATATTTTTTATTTCAAAACAAATCCTATTTAAGAGTATTAAAGGACACTGTATACGAATCTAAATTGATTTTTTAAGACAAAAATTAACTTGGCCTACTTTACTGGAAGCGTCATTTGATATGTTTTTCTTCTTTTACACAGTAAAAATACAAATAGATATAAACTGATATATTATATATAATATAAGAATCTATGCAGAGCCAAGGCAGGAAAAAATATTGAAAATATATAATGTTAATATTTTATATCTCGATTCCAAGGGTACATCGGTCAAATTTTTACTCGGACATGGTTCAAATATTAGATGACCAAGTATAACCGATAAAAGGTTCATCGAAATCGGTAAACCCACGTCCGTAATCTTCCTTTGTCAGAAGCGTAACCCCTTCCGCTCATTAAGATACTGTTTTGCAAGACTTGATTGTTATGCAGGTTTAACATAACCAAAAATGAAGGGGTGAGAAGACTGGTGGGAGGGGGTCACTATTCACTATAAATTCATATTTGTACTGTTCATTCATGCAATATATAGGAAATAAAAAAATTAAATAAAAAATAGACCACTTGGCATCTGAGCCGCTCAAAATAAAAAATTCATTGGATTTAAATGATGACTGATACAGAACTTAATTTTAAAATCTTTTATAAACCGTTATAGTAATGTTGGAGATAATAAATAAACATTTTTGGTAGCTACAGATTCAATTTAAGCTACAGATTTCCATTTAATTGAATTAATGAATTTTAATTTCAAATAATTTAAAACCACCCTTCAAAAAATACTTATAGTTCCATTTATAAATTCACTCATATTTTTCGTGATCTTTTGAGTCGGGATTCTCCTCCACAAAAAAAACTCAATAGTTTAAATTTTTGATTAATTTATTTTTTTTAAATTAATAGAAAAGAAAATAATAAATGTAACAATAGTATTAATGTATATGTAGAAAGTTCATTATAAAAATAAAATTACGGCTTTAATACTTAAGAAAATATAAATTTCTGACAAAAAAGGATTTTGTCTAAAATCTTAAAGCCAAAAAAAGAATATATATATATATATATATATATATATATATATATATTAGACATAAAAATATATACAAATTTGTTTCTCAAACCTCAAATATCGTCTTTACTATTTTTTTTTTCAAATGAAATACTACTTAATATGGCTTGCTAAAAGAAAAACTTATTAGTTGGTAAATTAGTTATTATTGCTTTAACATTTTTTCTTAAATTCCATTTATTTATACAATAGAATCAAAATAGCATTCAGGAATATATGTTTTAAAGAGATTTTATGAATATAGAATAAAAAAAAACTTGTCCTTTGGAAGAATTGTTCTTTTTAAGAATTATAGAAATCAGTTTTCTTTGATTTATATATCGATTTATGGAGACAATTAAATTACATGAGTTCATACTTTATTAATGTTATTAAAGAAAATTGATCTTTTGTGCGGTCTAACCCGACAGCTATTGAAAATAGGTGGAACAATAATTATAGTTAATAAGTTTTAAATTTCTGTTATGGTTATGGTTATTTATTAATATTTAACAAACAAATATTCTGTTGATGTTTTTATTTATTTTAAAAGGGATCTCTAAGTCGAGACTTTGATTATTACGTTAATTATTAAGAGAAAATGAGGTATATAGAATGTATATTCATAATTTATATGACAAGACTTAAAAAATAATAGTTTATCTTCTCTGTTTTATTATAATAGGAGCCCTTCGACCTGAAGCGGTGCATATTCGGTATAAGCTTTAATAATATTAAGACCTTTTTTTTTTTCAAGACTTATAATTTCTTGATAAATAGTACTTATATCTTGAAAATAGACTAAGAAAATCCCTTATCGGCAAGATTCCATTCAATTTGACCTATCCAATCATTTTCTGGAGAAGAGGAAGATCGGTCCAAGGTTCAACAATCAATCGAATAACTTAGTTAAAAAATTAATTTAAATGTTAGTTTTTTTTTTTCCCGAGATCACCCTGTATAAGATGCTATAATTAACATAGAAATTTCGAAAAATGCATAAGATTAGAAAACTCTATCTTACTTAAGTTACATATAAATATATAATAGGGACAATTTTATTCAGCAAGGAGTAGAAACCTACAGAGAGAGCGATGGACTTCTCAAGACGAACTCTGGACTGAGACTGACTGAGGAAAACCTCTGTGGACGCCTCCATCGCTACCCCCACCCCCTCTACTGGGGGTGGCAAATATTTGGCGTCTTTCTGTTTGCTTTAGTTGCCGCTCTTTTTACAAAGTTTGTCTTCAGCAAAAGTTTAATTATTGGGTGTTTATTTTTAATAATGATTTCCTATTGGCGTTATATAGATAATTAAAAATAAATAAAATTAAATACTAAATATTAATAATAATATTAAGGCATAGCGAACCCGAAGGTTCGATGCCGATAGCACCAATCGATGTCCACATTCTCCTGCTAAATCCAACCCCACCATACCTTCGCTCTGGTCTACCCCTCGGACGCTTGTTAGTCGGTACAGCGCATATTAACTTTTTAGGAATTCTTTTGTTACTAAGCCAATAATGATTGTCTGCATATCGGTCATTTTTATGGATACATATAACCACGCTTAATATGCAAATACAGCATATAAATTTCTACATCTCAGAGTTTTATTTATCTATTTATGTTAGTGTTACGATTTAATTATGTATTTTGTATTTCAAATATATATCCGGATGTTGTGGCTAAGAGTCTGGCAGGCCGAGGGCTGACGGAGGAGGAAGCGATGGATAGGGAGAAGAGGAGGAACCGACTAAAGGAGAAATTTGGCTGATTGAAACTTCAATTTATGAGGAAAACACCCATAAATAAAAAAAAAAAAGTATATATTTCGTCAT